TTCTCTTTTCTACACCGACCTACACAGACTGTAGTGACAGTTTTATGTTGTTGTTGTTATTGTGATGGTTGTAGTGGTAGTGGCTGCAGTAGTACTGGGTGATGTTACTTGATGGGTGATGTGGTAGCTGTTACACTGGCCACATTTACTTCTCAGTACAAATTAATGCTACACATTTAAGTCTGGGTGGACACGGATGCCAAGCTCAATTTAGTTACACTATTTCGTCACATGGTGACTTTCCCATCCTTCGGAGAGGATCATATGATTACTGGAAAAAGGTGGGGGGGGGGGGGGGGTTGATACCAAACACTGTTAACCAAGAGTGCTTAAAACATTGTTTTAAAGTTCTCATTCCTTAACTATATTTATTTCATTAATTTCGCAAGGTGATGATTTTTCAATCATCCTTCAGAGAGAAGAGAATGATATAATTAGTGGGGGGGGGGGGGTAGGGGGGGGAGGTTGATACCAGACACTGTTAACTGAGAGAGCTTAAAACATTATTTTAAAGTTCTCATTTCTTAAAACTATTTCTATTGTAATAATTTCGCCAGGTGATGATTTTTCAATTATTCGGAGAGGGAGATATGATTGGTGGAAAAGGGGGGGGGGGGTGGTTATGCCAGATACAGTTAGCTGAGAGAGCTAACACACATAGTCGGAAACACACACAAAAAGCATTCCACGTGAAATTCCCAACTCACAGTGTTGCGCCACGCGCTCACTCCAGTAGCTTGCCGATAGATCAGGTTTCGCCTTTACCTCTTTAGTTTCCTGCTAGGAGAGGGAGTGGGGGGGGGGGGGTTCGACCCTAACCGTCCGCTGGAGTACTGGAGAGCTCTACTGCGGGAAGGTGAGGCAGGCTTGAAAAAGGGTGGTGAGAACAGGGTCCACCACGTGAAGGTGAGACGGGCTTAAAAAAGTGTGGTGAGAACAGGGTCCACCACGTGAACGTGAGGCGGGCTTGAAAAAGTGTGGTGAGAACAGGGTCCACCACGTGAACGTGAGGCGGGCTTGAAAAAGTGTGGTGAGAACAGGGTCCACCACGTGAAGGTGAGGTAGATTTGAGCAAGACGCGAAAGAACAAGCTTCGCAACGTGAATGTGAGGTGGGCTTGGACAAGTGTGGTGTGATCACTCCACCACATGAAGTTGTAGACAGCAAGACGCGGAAAAACAGGCTCCACCAGATGAAGGTGAGGCAGGTTTGAGCAAGTGAGGGGAGAACAGACTTAACCACACGAAGGTTTTGTAGTCTTGAGCAAGTGAGGGGAGAACAGACTTAACCACACGAAGGTTATGTAGTCTTGAGCAAGTGAGGGGAGAACAGACTTAACCACACGAAGGTTATGTAGTCTTAAGCAAGTGGGGGGAGAACATACTTAACCACACGAAGGTTTTGTAGTCTTGAGCAAGTGAGGGGAGAACAGACTTAACCACACGAAGGTTATGTAGTCTTGAGCAAGTGAGGGGAGAACAGACTTAACCACACAAAGGTTATGTAGTCTTCAGCAAGTGAGGGAAGAACAGACTTAACCACACGAAGGTTATGTAGTCTTGAGCAAGTGAGGGGAGAACAGACTTAACCACACGAAGGTTATGTAGTCTTGAGCAAGTGAGGGGAGAACAGACTTAACCACACGAAGGTTATGTAGTCTTGAGCAAGTGAGGGGAGAACAGACTTAACCACACGAAGATTATGTAGTCTTGAGCAAGTGAGGGGAGAACATACTTAACCACATGAAGGTTTTGTAGTCTTGAACAAGTGAGGGGAGAACAGACTTAACTACACGAAGGTTATGTAGTCTTGAGCAAGTGAGGGGAGAACAGACTTTACCACACGAAGGTTATGTAGTCTTGAGCAAGTGAGGGGAGAACAAACTTTACCACGCGAGGGTTATGTAGTCTTGAGCAAGTGAGGGGAGAACAAACTCTACCAAACGAAGGTTATGTAGTCTTGAGCAAGTGAGGGGAGAACAGACTTACCACACGAAGGTTATGTAATCTTGCGCAAGTTAGGCTAAGAGACGTTAAGATCATATATTGCATGATACCGCTACATTAGGGGTCTTTGTTCCATTTTTGTCATTGATCACTATTAGGTTACATTTATGCTTTATCCATTGTTGTTCTACATGGCTCCACAGGTTCTGGAGCACAAGACCCCTATTTGTCTATCATAACCCTAACCATTGATTTATATTTGTTATGTGTACGCGCTGTTTTTTCGTTGTCCGTGGAAAAGAAGAAGAATAGCTGATCTCTAATCGTTCAAGAAGAAGGAGACGAATAGCCGATTCCTAATCTCCGGAGAAGAATCGGCGATATGTTTCTCTGAGGTAATAATTGATTCTGGTTTGTTGCGACAATGTGTTTGAAGTAACGTCAGATTATTATTAGTAATATTAGACCTACTCTAACAACTGATACTATCTGATAGAGTTAAGACCTTAATCTTTCTACTGCAAACATTTGTCTTTATGTATTAATATGTAATAATCACTGATTCATATTATTTGCAAGCATTTTTTTTAGTCATTTATTTCAATAAGACATTTTTTAGCACTCATTTTTTCACCAGATACTTTCGACTAACCAACTAAGATTTGTTCCGTTGTTTGTGAAATATTTGTTTTCTATTATATAATAAAAACTGTCAGTGAGTGATGGAAAACGAAAAGAAACGAAACTTGCCACATGTTGGATTGTTTATTAGTATTACTGTTGTTGGTTAGTCGAAAGTATCTAGTTAAAAATGAGTGATAAAAAATGTCTTATTGCAATTTTGAATAGTATAAGTGTCAAACATGGACACTGTCTAAGTGTCTTCTGACAGATATGAAATGTTTACGTGCTATTATTAGTAAACGGTGAGAGGAGAGTCTACCCAGAACAAGATTGAGATAGTCATTATTATTATTACTATTACTATAGTGAATAATACTTATGAGTGATGGTGATAATGAACCTTATAGGTTAACAACAAATCAGATATTCAGGCCATGCAAATGTAACAAGATTGGCATCATACAGGGCACCATAGAGAGTAATGTTATACATGAATAGCAGTAACAGAGCCACCAAACGTCGACCCAGAATAAAATGCTGCAGTAAGCATTTTAAGTAAATTAATAGCCAAATAAATTTCCCCAAAAAGTGACTATAGTACTATAGTTTATAATAAACTTTATTAGTTAATCATGAATGGAATACCATACGTGTGGGAAAACGATCTTTAAAATATTTTAAATCAGGTCACATTGTTTTGTAAAATAATGTAAATCAATATTTGGCTATCCTCTGAATAATAGTCTCAAATTATCGAGGCCAAAAATATACCCTAACATTGCCTCAGTCCATGCATTCACAGGCAAATAAAATGAGGGAAGCTGCAAAAAAGAACATAGAATTAAAAAAAAAGCACAGCAAATTGTTGAAATCTTGCTCATTTAGAAAATATGTGTGAATTTACCTACAGTAAAATACACTCATGCTGCTAAAAACATTTTTTTATCTTTTGCACTCCGAAGCCATGTAATGTCACAGCCTAACATCTCTGCAGTAACTCCTGATACCTGTCTCAGTGTCAAGAATACAGACAAATAGTTTCTTATTGGGTTTCAATTATCCCCTATATTAAATGTTACATTATGTCAATGGCACAGCCAAACAAATTGGCGTCTCACTCATCAACTTCCACTTTAACGGACCGTGAACATATCTATTTTTATTTTGACCTGCCACACTGTCTGTGATAGTGACAAAAGTATGTATCCACTTTTTAAATCATGTCTTTAATCCAAACTGACCCCTTTAAAAAAGAAGTTAATAAGTTAACTAAATTAAATACTGCTTATTCTCTGTATTTATCATATTTTATGATGTAGGTAGGACTGGTTTAAGTTTAGGAGTGCAGTCACCACAAAGTTGAACAGGTATATGCCTTTAAGAATGTTTCTTAAAGTTGCCTGAGTTGATCAAATCATCATTAGTTTTGGGAGGAGACAGATAGACTCAAAAATAGTAGATGTAGACATCATATATTTTGATGTAGACATACACCTAATAATTAAGAATACAGCACATGTTTAGTTAGATATAATCATACAACATATATTTTCACATAGACATATACCATTTAGAATCTAAATAAGCATACTCATACAGCATATGTTTAGATATAAGCATACAACATATATTAAGATATAAGCATACAATACATGTTTAGATATAAGTATACATGTTCTTAGATACAAGCAAACAACATATGTTAAGATATAAGCATACAATACATGTTTAGATATAAGTATACATGTTCTTAGATACAAGCAAACAATATATGTTAAGATATAAGCATACCACATGTGTTTAGATATAAGCATTCAACATATATTTTTATAGACACATACAACATATATTTTGATTTGGGGGTACCATGGATGAAGCTGGTTTTCTGGGCTGTCATCTGAAGACAGGATCATTCATGACAGGATTGACGTTTTCTGACCTGTGCTGGGCTGTCATCTGAAGACAGGATCATGACAGGATTGACATTTTCTGACCAGTGCTGGGTTGTCATCTGAAGACAGGATCATGACAGGATTGACGTTATCTGACCAATGCTGCACACAATTTAAGAAAGACCAAAACAAAAAAGAACAAATTAAATGGGAAAGACGTTTGCCATCATGTCTCATTTTTCTGTAATCGAATCTATGTGAAGATGTAACACTTGAATGCAGCAAGCTTGTGTCTGCCATAGGTTGACTTCTTCTTTCTTTCAGCAGAGAAAAATAGCATTTTTGATAATTGAATGTGTGTTTCTGTGTTCACATTGTCTTGTCCAGAAGTAGTACACTGGAAAATAAATAGGTTTTCCTGTCTTCTTTGTGTTTGTTAAGGCAGGTTTAATTTCTACAGTAGTATGCCTTGACCAGAATCACAGTTCACACTTTCCCTTTATAAGTGTCATAACGGAACAAAGTCTTTGCACAGACAATGGCAACAAAAGTGGACAAATATTCTGTTCTTCACAGAAAGAAAACAAAAAGTGTGACATCGGACATTGAATTCAAAAAGTTAACTAAGCCGTTCAGCTACCCTGGGAAGAGTCAGCCATCTAATGGAACTGTGCAGTCCTTGAGCCAAAAGCAAGCACACAGTAAAACATGCATCAGACAACAACAGGCTCAAGTCAGTGGAGCTAAGCAAAACAGGCCTGCAATTATCAGAGACGGCAGTAACTTACATTTCAGTCAGAAATCTGTGAGGAAGATGACCTCAGAAAGTAAGCATGACAAGGTTCAAATGTCTGCAAGTCACTTAGACTCTTCGGGTTTACTGTCAAATACTTCATCAGCAACAATGAAACAAACACAGAATCTTTGTGTAGAGAAGAGTTCCAACACAGTGGCAGCTGATGCCACAAGACCAGATGTCAAATGTCCCAAAACAGATAAACAATTCAAACTGAAGAAAGGTAAGTCTACTGTACATGCCCTTCTACTATAAACGCCATTCTACTGTAAACGCCTGTTTGTTTCAAGTGTGCTGTATATTTCTTTCTTTTTTTTTTTTTTTAAACTTGTATTAGCACATCATCATCATGTACTATGCTTCAATTAAAATGTGCTCAGATTGATTCACAACTATCTTTTGTCTAGGTTTGCCCATTTATAGTCTTCAGTGTTACACCAACTATAAGCTTTCCTGTCCATCACAACAGTTGGTCTCCCTAGCCCCCACAACAGATGGTCTCCCTAGCCCCCACAACAGATGGTTTTCCTAGCCCCCACAACAGATGGTCTTCCTAGCCCCCACAACAGTTGGTCTCCCTAGCCCCCACAGCAGTTGATCTCCCTAGCCCACACAGCAGTTGGTCTCCCTAGCCCCCACAACAGATGGTCTCCCTAGCCCCCACAACAGTTGGTCTCCGTAGCCCCCACAACAGTTGATCTCCCTAGCCCCCACAACAGATGGTTTTCCTAGCCCCCACAACAGTTGGTCTCCCTAGCCCACACAGCAGTTGATCTCCCTAGCCCCCACAACAGATGGTCTTCCTAGCCCCCACAGCAGTTGATCTCCCTAGTCCACACAACAGTTGGGCTGTCTAGCCCACACAGCTGTTGACCTCCCTAGCCATCAGAAATGTTGGTTTCCCTAACCCACACAAAAGTTGATTTCCCTAGCCCTCACAATAGTTGGTCTCCCTAGCCCACACAACAGTTTATCTCTCTAGCCCTCACAAAAGTGGGTTTCCTTAACCCACACAACAGTTAATCTCCCTAGCCCATACAACAGTTTATCTCTCTAGCCCTCACAACAGTGGGTTTCCTTAACCCACACAACAGTTGATCTCCCTAGCCCATACAACAGTTTATCTCTTTATCCCTCACAATAGTGGGTTTCCTTAACCCACACAACAGTTGATCTGCCTAGCCCATACAACAGTTTATCTCTGTAGCCCTCACAACAGTTGATCTCCCTAGCCCATACAAAAGTTTATCTCTCTAGCCCTCACAACAGTGGGTTTCCTTAACCCACACAACAGTTGATCTCCCTAGCCCATACAACAGTTTATCTCTCTAGTCCACACAGCAGTTTGTTTCCCTAGCCTTCACAACAGTTTGTTTCTTTAGCCCTCACAATAGTTGGTTTCCCTAGCCATCTCAGCAGTTGGTCTGTTTACACCCAGATGACCTCCTCATCATCTGTAACATGGCTATTCAACTAGCGGCCCGCTGAGGCCTAGCAAGTGGCCCACGGATCATTTCTATTGTATTAATGATCTTTCTATGTAGCGGGTTGGATTTCTGGCCTATCATAATTCCCTTGTTCAAAACTGTGCCCACTAAATAGACATAGTTGAATAGCCCTGATCCACACTGATGGGTCCATAAAGCGCAGGTCAAGTTCAGCACTGGCATACACAGGATGGGGACAATACAAGAGGACCTCAGCTCTTACCAGGCAACTCCGTCAAGCATGACCAATGAGATAACCACTGCTTATAAAGCTCTAGCATAGCGAGCAGAACAGATAGCCACACATGTAGTAATTGTATTAGACTCCTTGAACATGCTTCAGAAAATTGCAACAAGGGGCATAGAATCTGAATGGAAAGAAAGCATTCAAAAATCTCCCTCGCCTGGTTATTCACATCTTGTTGTGCCGGCATAAAAGGTAATGAACAAGCAGACCAGTTGGCAACCAGTGCAATAATGCATGTGGAAAGAGGCATGGACAGAGCAGATATCAACGATGTATAGTCCGGGCTAGTGAATAATAACAAATCTATCACTGACAGTATTGCGTCACCTGGGAGTAAAGCACGGTGCAGTACGTCTATGCTGCTTTCGAGGTTGAGATAGGAAACATCAACACCAGCTCCTCATGGCAACAATTAGCAGAGGTGCATTGGAGGACTAAGCATGGATAGGAATGCCCAGTGTGCAGTGACATTGATAGTGATAACACAACAGTTTGTCTCCCCAGCCATCACTACAGTTGGTCTAGTCACAACAGTTGGTCTAGCTACCACAATTATTGGTCTCCCTGCCACTATGTTTGTCACTTTATCTAACCATTTCAATTATCAGTCACTTTAGCCATTATGATTGTCACTTTATCTGACCATTTTAATTATCTGTCACTTTAGCCATTGTGTTTGTCACTTTTTCTAACCATTTCAATTATCGGCCACTTTAGCCACCGTGATTGTCACTCTACCTAACCATTTCAATTATCAGTCACTTTAGCCACCGTGATTGTCACTCTACCTAACCATTTCAATTATCAGTCACTTTAGCCACCGTGATTGTCACTCTACCTAACCATTTCAATTATCAGTCACTTTAGCCACCGTGATTGTCACTCTACCTAACCATTTCAATTATCAGTCACTTTAGCCACCGTGATTGTCACTCTACCTAACCATTTCAATTATATGCCACTTTAGCCACCGTGATTGTCACTCTACCTAACCATTTCAATTATATGCCACTTTAGCCACCGTGATTGTCACTCTACCCAGCCATTTCAATTATCAGTCACTTTAGCCACCGTGATTGTCACTCTACCTAACCATTTCAATTATCGGCCACTTTAGCCACCGTGATTGTCACTCTACCTAACCATTTCAATTATCAGTCACTTTAGCCACCGTGATTGTCACTCTACCTAACCATTTCAATTATATGCCACTTTAGCCACCGTGATTGTCACTCTACCTAACCATTTCATTATCGGCCACTTTAAGAAGAGAAGATAGCCACCGTGATTGTCCTTGTCTACCTAACCATTTCAATTATTGCCACTTTAGCCACCGTGATTGTCACTCTACCTAACCATGTTTCAATTATGCCCCCGACCACTTTAGCCACCATGAAAATTGTCACTCTACCTAACCATTTCAATTATCAGTCACATTAGCCACCGTGATTGTCACTCTACCTAACCATTTCAATTATATATATGCCACTTTAGCCACCGTGATTGTCACTCTACCCAGCCATTTCAATTATCAGTCACTTTAGCCACCGTGATTGTCACTCTACCTAACCATTTCAATTATCAGTCACTTTAGCCACCGTGATTGTCACTCTACCTAACCATTTCAATTATCAGTCACTTTATGGCGGAGCCACCCTGATTGTCACAGGGCTCTAAACCTAACCATTTTCAATTAGCATCAGTCCACTACGATCCCACCGTGATTGTCACTCTACCTAAACCATTTCAATTATCAGTCACTTTGTGAGCCACCGTGATTGTCACTCTAACTAACATTTCCAATTATATGCCACTTTAGCCACCGTGATTGTCACTCTACCTAACCATTTCAATTATCGGCCACTTTAGCCACCGTGATTGTCACTCCTACCTAACCATTTTCAATTATCAGTCACTTTAGCCCACCGTGATTGTCACTTCTACCTTAACACATTTCAATTATATGCCACTTAGCCACCGTGATTGTCACTTCTACTAAACCATTTTTCAATTATCAGTCACTTTAGCCATTCTGATTATCAGTCTCCATAGCCATTAGAATGATTTCTTCTTAACTCTCTACAGTTATTGGTCAACAGTCTTCCAGTAGCCTTTTGTCTTCGGTCATTTTAGTTTGATTGTACAGCAGTAATTGTAATTACTTTGATTGTACAGCAGTAATTGTTACTTTGATTGTACAGCAGTAATTATAATTACTTTGATTGTACAGCAGTAATTGTAGTTACTTTGATTGTACAGCAGTAATTGTAGTTACTTTGATTGTACAGCAGTAATTGTAGTTACTTTGATTGTACAGCAGTAACTGTATTATTTTGATTTGTAGAGCAGTAATTGTAGTTACTTTGATTGTACAGCAGTAATTGTAGTTACTTCAGTTGTACAGCAGTAATTGTAGTTACTTTGGTTGTAGATCTGTAACTAGTTATTCTGGTTGTAGAGCTGTAATTGTAGTTACTTTGGGTGTACAGCAGTAATTTGGTTGTCTTTTGTCTGAAATTTTTGTAATAACTTTTATTGTACAGCAGTAATTGTAGTTTCTTTGATTGTGCTGTACTAGAAGCGAAAGGCTTAAGTACTAAGAAAAATAAAGAAAAAGAGTGTTTGTTTTAGCAGGGACTAGAAACAGAAACATTCTAGCCCAGACATGATATCTTTTTATGCAGTCTAGATAGCTGTAACAGTAAACTAGGCACACTAACCACAAGTCCTAATGTGAATCGAAACAACTATAATCATCACATTAAACAGCTGTTTATTTTACTGAACACAAAATTATCATAAACTTCACAGATAATACATTAACAACAACAAACGTGCTCTACCAGAATCTAAAGTGCTAATCATCAAAACTTATTAACATGTATGTTGAGCTTCAAGAGACCAGTAAATCACTTATAGCGACCTTGGACTAGCCTTATCAACCGCAGTATCTGTAAGATAATCTGCACGCTCGCTCCTGTGAACATCCGCATTACCTAGCACTAAGGTCACACACATTTGTGTGTGTATTGTGACTGTGGTAATGGGATGTTATGTTTACGTGTCTTGTAATCTGTTTGCATATTTACACTTACAGGTGCCAGAAAGAAGCAGGATGGTGCCTCTAACTGGATGAAATTGTGTGCAGTAAGTCAGCAATAAATAATCATTCATATAATAAATTACACACATACTCGGTACACATGATATGATAGAATAACTAGTGTAGTGATCAAAATGAGAAAAGGTCAGACTCTGGTCAGTTATGAGATGGTGCAGTGATGATCACGTTGAGCTTGAGAAAACATGGACAACTCCTTACCTGTTAAACACTGGGAAAACTATGGAGTTTGCATGAGCATGTGATGAGTGAGAATCAGTGATCAGTTTAGTAAGTGGCAGACGGTTCATTGTTTTCATCATCTCATCACATGGGGGTCTGATCAAATTTCTTTTGCGTTCTTATTGACTCTTTGAAGACAGCAACAGTCGGGGTTCATTTAGGTCATCTAGTGCCTGCTTTATGTAACAAACAACAGACCTTATACAAGGGAACAGTATCCTTTGGAGGAATTGAACCAGGAGCTTTACCTAGGTCCCCCTAGATCCTACAGCTGTTGGTGCAATGATCCAGCCATTTGGTGGATATCGACAATACTTCTGCAGCCCAACACACACTGCAGAGGCTCTCAGTCCATATCAGCAGGGGGAGGGGGTGGTAAGCAAATATGTTTATAAACTAATGTTTTAACAGTGGATAGTGATCAAGTTGAGACAATGGAGTGTTGATCTACCACAGTCTGCATCTATGCTTGGGATTTGTCTAACATTTAAATACTATTGACAAGAATGTATAATTGGGTAAATTGCCATCTCTCTTGTAAATTATGTATATACCTTTTAATACTGATTCTCTGTTGGCTTCATTATTTGTAGGTGTCAGATATTGACTTTCTGCTGTGTGCATTTTCACAGACCATAAATATTTATTCTATTTTATGTCTTTCTTTGTAGACCTTAAATATTGATGGTGCCAAGAGGAAAACCAAAACCTTGAAAAGAGCATTATCAAATGATGTCGCTGAGCAGGGAGAACACTCTGAGGTTAAAAGGTGCTGTAGGAATATTTGCAGTTTTCTGTCTTGTCCCTCGCCTACGCCTTATTCTGATGTCTATCAGTCTAACTACATAGCTATATTTTTTTATTTTATCTTCAGTGGCGGAGTCAGTGTATCTGCACTTTGCAGAGGATTCTGGTTAAAAAATTTAATTTATGTGATATTCACTACTTTATCATTATTTTCTTTTTCCTGATGTCAGTGCTAATTATTGTGCGAGAAACTGTCACCATCCTGCACCTTGACAAATGACATCTACACCTTGACAAGTGACATAAACCAGATTTCTGCACAGATCTAACTCTTTGATATTCAGTATCAGCTCTGTTGAAGATATCTCTCTGATGATAACATTGTTGCTGCTGTTTCTAGCTGTTATCAAGATGTTGTCAAATAGCTTTGTATTGCCTCTCTTCAATTGTATTATTACATCTGTGTTTTTGTTTCTTTAAATGAACTAGTGTTTATATTTTATTGATGTTTTCAATGTCTATCTGCTGTTGCAGATCCTTTGCTGCATTTTACCCGACATTATCAGTTTTTGCAGATCCTTTGCTGCATTTCAGCTGTCATTGTCAATTGTTGCAGAGCCTTTGTTGTGTCTTAGCTGTCTTCGTCAATTGTTGCAGATCCTTTGCTGTGTCTCAGCTGTCTTCGTCAATTGTTGCAGATCCTTTGCTGTGTCTCAGCTGTCTCCATCAGTTGTTGCAGATTCTGTGCTTCATTTCAGATGTCTTCTTTAATTGTTTCAGATCCTTTGCTGTGTCTCAGCTGTCTTCATGCAAATACCATAGAACCCATAAAGTTCACCACCTCCATAAGTTGACTGGCTTTCTACAGTCCCCTGTGTGGTCAGCTTATAAAGGCTCTCTGTCTATTTTCTTGTTGAAATTTTTTTTAAATGTTGAATGAATTGTTCCCTAACCTTTTAACGGTCTCTGCTGTGCTGCAATAATTTCTTTCATTTTTATTCTTTTTTTTTTTCTTCTCATTATAACTTTTTTTCCAATTGGGTTCCAGAACCTCCCCCCCCCCCCCCCCCCCCAATATGTGTGTTCTTGAAGTTGGAGTGCATGTGCCTGAGAGGCAAGGAAACAGCCATCTGCGTACAAATAAGCAAGACCTTTATAACGGATGTGAACGTTAAAAAAAAATCCTAGGTTCTGCAACAAGCCTAAAGTCCAGTTGTGGATGATTAACCAGATGTTTTTGCCGGAGTTTATAGCCTGTGAGCGCGGAGAAGAAGAAAAAAGGAGAAAATATTGTGAGTTAAATTGTGGGAAGATCAAGTTTGCATCCATGACTTCTCTTTTTCAGAACTAAACTTGGGGTGTGGTTTGACAATGTTGACAAGATCCTCATTGAAACAGAACCAACAGAACAAAGTAGGGTGGGTACAGGCGGAGACATTGACGGCAAACAAATAACTGATCCACTGGTGAAGCCCGGCTCTTTTAAAGGGTATGTTTGTGTTTGGAATTTCTTTCAGTTGGCTGCATATGTGTGTGTATTTGGGGTTTCCTTCAGTTGGGTGGGTGTGTTTGGGGTTTGCTTCAGTTGGCTGTATATGTGTGTGTATTTAGGGTTTCCTTCAGTTGGCTCTAAATGTTTGTGTGTGAGTTTGGGGTTTCCTTCAGTTGGCTGAATATGTGTGTGTATTTGGGGTTTCCTTCAGTTGGCTTTGTGTGTGTGAGCTTGGGGTTTCTTTCTATTTTCCTTGTGTGAGCTTGGGGTTTCCTTCTATTTGCCTTGTGTGTGAGCTTGGGGTTTCTTTCTATTTTCCTTGTGTGAGCTTGGGGTTTCCTTCTATTTGCCTTGTGTGTGAGTTAGGGTTTCCTTCCGTTAGCTTTATGTGTAAGTTTGGGCTTTTCTTCCATTTGCCTTGTGTGAGTTTGGGTTTCCTTTCCTTGGCTTTATGTGTGAGTTTGGGGTTTCCTTCAGTTGGCTTTGTGTGTGCGTCTGTGCAGCTGAATCGTAAAGAGGGTAACAAAACACACACACACACACACACACAACCCAAAATGAGTTTTTTTTACCTGTGCAGACCAATCCAGCATCTGTTGGATGTTCTTCCCGTGAGCAAACCAATCCAGCATTTGTTGGATGTTCTCCTCTTGTACAGACCAATTCAGCATCTGTTGGATGTTCTCCTCATGCTGGTTCCTGGGCTCCATTTTCGAGAATAAAGAATAGACTCACTGCCCCTTTTCAAGCATGTCTTAGGAAGCTTCCAATTAGGGGTATTTTCTTCAAAGTCAGAGTACATCTGCCTGAGAGTCATAGAACTAGCAGTTTGCATACAGATAAGCAAGATCTGTAAACAGATGTGCACTAAAAAAAAAATCAAGACCTAAGCCCAGATGTTTCCGCAAGAGTTTACAGCTGGTGAACGCTAACAAGGATAAGAAGAGAGTTGGCTTTTGTCATTTTGATAGGAAATTTGATGTTTATCAGTTTGTAATCTGAATGCTGATATGCTCATACTAGTCTCCAACAACAGAAAGCAGTCTTCCGTCAAATAACTTAATTGAGCCCACTATTGTTTTACTTACCTTCAGTAGTTTGTCATTGTTTTAATAAGCAGCTTTATTTTCAGTAGTCTCTGTGGCGTAGCAGCTAGACACTCGCGCGAGGATCAGAAGGTCATGGGTTCGCTCCCTGGCGGAGCCGGACTTTATTCAAAAATGGCCTTGACTCCCATGTCAACCCTGCCTTGAGTAGTTACCGGGTGCAGTCCTGCGAAGTAAAGGTGTCCGGCGTGATGCTGACCACATCACCCATCTTGTGCCGATTAGTCTATAAAAATACAGGTATAGCCCTATATGCCTAAAATCGTGGAAAAGGAACCTTTACTTTACTTACTTTTTACTTTTATTTTCAGTAGCTTGTAATTGTTTTCTGAAGAGTCACCACACCATATCATTGTTACAATCAAATCAAAGTTTATGTGCATATGTAAGTAATATTTCAACAGCCTTGACTTGAGTGTCTTTTGATATCAACAGTCTCACAAACTGTGTGGCTATGGACTGTGAGATGGTGGGGTTTGGCCCCAAGGGAGAGGAGAGTATCCTGGCTCGTGTTTCTGTGGTCAACCACTTTGGTGTTTGCTTGTATGATAAATTTGTGCAGCCTCGGGAGAAGGTCACGGACTATCGAACTCATGTCAGTGGTGTGACAGCCCAGCTTTTGTCTACAGGTGTGTATTTATCAGGTTGATTTGGTCTTTCATTGTGTTTGTTTGTACTCATTAGTTTATCTTCTGAGTTTATGGAACCTTTAGACGGAATCAATGTAATATACATCTGAACTCTTATTTTCTAGCGGCATGCTATGTGTTGTTCTTTTTTGGCACAGGTCATCATTCAACATGTGGCTCTTTGTTGTACTAGTTTACATACCGTATGTTTTTTGTTGCATCATTTAACACACCACGTGTTCTTTTTTGTATCAGTTGACACACCACATATGTTCTTTTTTGTACTAGTTGACACACGACATGTTGCTCTGTATTTTACTGATTAGCAAAGAATTGTTGTTGTTCTTTATTTGTATGAATCATTCTATCATTTGTACCAATCTTGCCATCTTTGATGGGCTGTTCTCTACCAGTCAACATACCTGATGGGCTTAACTGTTCTTTTTGTGTACCAGTCTTCAAGGCATGTGTGTTCTTTGTATCAATCAACACATATTATATCTGTTTTTACATTCATCCATCTATCCATTTATCCCTCTGGCTGTCTTTCTCTCTCTCTAATAAATGCCCCAGGGTATACTCTGTCCTTTACATTCATCTGTCTGTCTATCCATTTATCCCTCTGCCCGACTGTCTCTCACTAATAAATGCCCCAGGGTATACTCTGTCTTTACATTCATCTGTCTGTCTATCCATTTATCCCTCTGCCCGACTGTCTCTCACTAATAAATGTCCCAGGGTCTTTTCTGTCTTTACATTCATCTGTCTGTCTATCCATTTATCCCTCTGCCCGACTGTCTCTCACTAATAAATGTCCCAGGGTCTTTTCTGTCTTTACATTCATCTGTCTGTCTATCCATTTATCCCTCTGCCCGACTGTCTCTCACTAATAAATGTCCCAGGGTCTTTTCTGTCTTTACATTCATCTGTCTGTCTATCCATTTATCCCTCTGCCCGACTGTCTCTCACTAATAAATGTCCCAGGGTCTTTTCTGTCTTTACATTCATCTGTCTGTCTATCCATTTATCCCTCTGCCCGACTGTCTCTCACTAATAAATGTCCCAAGAGTATATGGTGGCACAGTGGTTGTTACACCTGCCTGCCAAGACAGTGGTCCAGGTTCAGTCACTAGAAAAGACTGGACTAGTTCAACAGTGGGACTGACCCACACTCATAAAAATGGGTACTAGACAATCACCACGGTTGTTTTTAGGAAATTGTCTTTGAATGAAAGGAGACGAAGAACGGGACAAGGAAAGGAGATGAAAAAGGGGACAAGAAGAGGATAGAAGGATACTAGGAAAGCCATTAAGGAAGGAGACAAGGCAGCCTGTCTGGTATGCCGTGACCCAGAATACATAATGGCATTAAACATCTCATCTCATAGACAGCCAAAATGTAGCAGCAGGCATGTCCAGTTTGAGCAAGCACCCTGTCCAAATTGTCCTTGTAGGGACTAGTCCTTACTGGGAATGGAACCAAACTACACTTTGTGATCCACAGTGGAGTCCTCCTTAGGAAGCCATGACGGATGAGAAGCACCCATTTTGGAGTCAGTAAGCACTATAATTATGTAGAAGGGCCAAATAAAACATTCAATAAAGTTACCCAGTTGGAGTTCAAGTAACACCCTCATTGCAAAGGATAAACAGGTAAAAGTTGCAATTATTTCCCCCCAAAAAAGCTGGTTAAATCTGATCATAATTTTTTTATTATTATTTTGTTCAGTGAAGCAAGCATAAGAAACTTTACATCATAGTGGCCATATCTGTAGCTATCTACCTGTAACTCTGTCATCATCACATAACAGTGAAATTAATTAAAAATCAATGTATGACATGTTTTTGCGATATCAAAAGAGTGACCTCCTACGATCTTCCTTATTCTCTGACTTCTCCAGGTGAAGAATTCACAAAAGTCCAATCGGAAGTGAGTGGTCTGATTAAAGACAGGATTCTGGTTGGACATGCAGTACACAATGATTTGAAGGTGATTACTATCTCATTGTTTTCTTTATTACTGCTTTGATAGGTAGGACTGACTGACTTTCTACCCCACTAGGACATCACACAAGCGATAAACACCCGATGACACAAAGTGCCAATATGCGGATGAGGATCATTGTGGAGAGGTCCCAGAAACCGCGTTAAGACAATTGGCCATATTTATGGCCTGCCTATATTGCGGCCCCTGGCAAAAAGCCAGAGTGGGGCTTCAAATAAGAAAAAATTACGTCCTGAAAAGGACGTAAGTAAGGAATTACAATTTAATAGGTAGGACATCTTTGTAGGTGCGTTGGACAGATGCTCTAATGCTGCACCAACTGGGTCATGAATTAGCTGTGGTCGGCCCTTTGGGAGCAGTGAATAATGCAGAAGACCAACTACATCATTACAGCTTGATAAGAGTGGTACAGTGAAGAGTGGCCAGGGGACCTAGCTAATACTCAGCACCCAAGGGAAAGGCCCCATGGGCACACAATCAGATTGCTGCAGCACCATTAACATTGGAACTGTTTGCTAGCTGCTGGAGATGGAGTGCTAATGGGAATATCCTCAGTGCTATTATATTATTTCTTAACTCAGCTAGGATCCTGGCAACTTACAGCTTAGGAGAATCTGTACGTCTTCATACATACTGGATCAGAGACTTATAGATGTTGGTGTCCAGCTGTATCCTTTGCTGCTTTTCCTTCACACAAAAATCTGGGCCAAGTTTACCAGGCAGCTCAATCCCATTTTTTGCACAGATGGAAAACAAACAGCACTACTCACCTAATTTGAAATTGAACTCTGCAAACTGTAAGGATAGACTGGTGTAGCTATTGTTGATATGAGTACCAGCTAAAAAAAATTTAGTGAAGTTACATGAAACCTATATTCAGATTTAACAACACTTTCCCAAACTGCATTCCACCCAGACCCACCACACTGAGGGCTGTTACACGAAGAACTACTCCACTCAGGGCTGTTCCACGCAGAACTACTCCACTCAGTGCTGTTCCACGGAGAACCACTCCACTCAGGGCTGTTCCACCCAGAAGTACTCCACTCAGGGCTATTCCACATAGAACCACCCCATGCAGAAGCACTGCACCCAGAACCTCTCCCCATATATGGTGTTCCCTGCCAATACATCGATCCCTGCCAATACATTCCCATATACAATGATCCCTTCCAACACATCCCCATATACAATGATCCCTTTCAACACATCCCCATGTACAGTGCTCCCTGCCAACATAACCCACATATGATGATTCCTCCGATCACTTTAGTTTCATCAGCATATTTTTTCCCTACAGGTTCTCTTCCTGACACATCCTCACAGAATGATTCGAGACACAAGTCTCTACAAGCCGTTTCGTGAGCTGTTCAAAGGCAGGTTGCCTTCACTGAAAAAACTCACTGACAAAGTTCTTGGTGTGTCTGTCCAGGAGGGGCAGCATAGCTCAGTAAGAATATATATCTGTATTGTGCTTCCTATAGTCTGTTTAATCATTCTTCATTGCACATTTAGTCCATAATTGCTTGATCCCTTCCTCGGTAAATCCTGCGACTTATAGCGGCTGACAACACCAGTCCTGTGTTGATTTATTCTTCTTCTTTAGCTCCCTGCATAGTGCTCTTGCATGGCCACACCCCTGTTTATGTTCTTGCAGTCTGATCCTCATTGCAGAATAGTTCAGGAGCTCTTGAGTCAGGTTTATTTCTTGAACTCTTGAGTCAGGTTTATTTAATGGACTCTGTTGTCAGTTTTATTAAAGGGATCTCTTGAATCAGGTCTATTAAAGGATTTCTTGTGTTAGATTTATTTAATGGACTTGTGTTAGATTTATTTAACGAACTCTTGCGTCAGCTTTATTAAATCAAGAAAAGATATAAAACCGAAAAAGTATATTAGCAAGCTTCACAGTATAACAAATACAAACAATACGTGAACGTTGCGGCTATGGAGCCTCCATCAGCACATACACAAATCAAACAAAATTACACAAATACACAAAATCACTTAGTTGGTATCTCGAAGCAGCCAGGTCGATGACGTATCAGCAGATTGTCGACACGCGTGGGCCAGGGGAATAAATACCCCCATGAGTCAGGTTTATTTAATGGACTCCTGAGTGAGGTTTATTAATTGGACCCTTGTACCAGCTTTATTCAATAACTCTTGTGTCAGGTTTATTTAATGAGCTCATGAGTCAGGTTTGGGGCTCTCGAGTCCGGTTGATTAAATGGACTCTTGTATCAGCTTTATTCAGTGAACTCTTGTGTCCAATTTATTTAATGGATCTCTTGAGTCAGGTTTATTTAGTGGACTCTTGTGTCAAGTTTATTTCATGGACTCTGGTTTCAGGTTTATTGAATGGATCTCTTGAGTCAGATTTATTGAGTGGACTCTTAGTCGGGTTTATTTAATGAAATCTTGAGTCAGGATTTTTTAAAAGAAGTCTTGTAATCTCTTGAGGCAGACGTGGGTGACTGTGACTGTCCACAATCTTTGTTGTTATTTCTACCTCTGATATCCTTCTAACCATTGCACTGACTTCTGTCCTGTAATAAACATTACCATCCTGTTGTCTCTTGGAAATGGAACATGTGCAGAATATCTCGCTATGCTTGTTCCATTGTCTTACCAACCAGTTTACTGTCATTCCGTCTATGCATAGTTACTGTTTCATTCCATCCCTGCAGTTACTGTTTCATTCCATCCCTGCAGTTACTGTTTCATTTCATCCCTGCATAGTTACTGTTTCATTTCATCCCTGCAGTTACTGTTTCATTCCACCCCTGCAGTTACTGTTTCATTTCATCCCTGCAGTTACTGTTTCATTTCATCCCTGCAGTTACTGTTTCATTTCATCCCTGCAGTTACTGTTTCATTCCACCCCTGCAGTTACTGTTTCATTCCACCCCTGCAGTTACTGTTTCATTTCATCCCTGCAGTTACTGTTTCATTCCATCCCTGCAGTTACTGTTTCATTTCATCCCTGCATAGTTACTGTTTCATTTCATCCCTGCAGTTACTGTTTCATTTCATCCCTGCATAGTTACTGTTTCATTTCATCCCTGCAGTTACTGTTTCATTTCAACCCTGCAGTTACTGTTTCATTCCATCCCTGCAGTTACTGATATGCCACACCTACAGTTACTGTGTTACTCCACCCCTACAGGTACTGTGTTATTTCACCTCTTTAGTTTACTGTGTTATTTCACCCCTTCAGTTTATTGTGTTATTTCACCCCTCCAGGTACTGTATTTTTTCACCCCTCCAGGTACTGTGCTGTTCCACCCTCTACAGTTACTGTGTTATTGCATCCTACAGGTGCAAGATGCCCAAGCTACCATGAGACTCTACACCATGTACAGGCAGAAATGGGAGAAGCAACTCCGGCAGGACAGGAAACTGGGCAGAAACAGAAAGAGGAAGAAGAAACAAGCTAAAGAAGAGAATGTGTGATATGTTTTTGCTATTTCCATAAAACATTTGGAACAGTTGACTGGCTGTCTTATTGTTCATTTGATGTGTTGAATTTCAGTGTTCACTTGATATGTTGTATGTCAATGTTCACTTGATATGTTGTATGTCAGTGTTCACTTGATGTGTTATATGTCAGTGTTCACTTGATATGTTATATGTCAATGTTCACTTGATGTGTTGTATGTCAGTGTTCACTTGATGTGTTGTATGTCAGTGTTCACTTGATATGTTGTATGTCAATCCTGTTGTATGTCAGTGTTCACTTGATATGTTATATGTCAGTGTTCACTTAATGTGTTGTATGTCAATGTTCACTTGATATGTTGTATGTCAGTGTTCACTTGATGTGTTGTATGTCAGTGTTCACTTGATGTGTTATATGTCAGTGTTCACTTGATATGTTGTATGTCAGTGTTGATGTGTTTATGTCAGTGTTCACTGTTTGTGTGGTTCACATTGATGTGTGTGATGTGTTATATATGTCAGTGTCACTTGTTTTGGTATGGTGTTCACTTGATATGTTAATCTCTGTTTGGGTGGTGTTCACTTGTGCGTAATCTGTTCACTTGTTTGTATGGTGGTGTGCGTATATCTCAGTGTTCACTTGATGTGTTATATGTCAGTGTTCACTTGTTATATGTGTGTGTATATGTCTCTGTTTGGTTGTATGTGTTTGTTTGGGTTTGTGCGTAATCTCTGTTTGGGTGGTGTGCGTAATCTCTGTTTGGGTGGTGTGTTAATCTCTGTTTCACTTGTGTGTTAATCTCTGTGATGTGTTATAATCTCTGTTTTGGGTGGTGTGCGTAATCTCTGTTTGGGTGGGTGTGTAATCTCTGTTTTGGGTGGTGTGTGTGTAATCTCTGTGTTGGGTGGTGTGCATAATCTCTGTTTGGGTGGTGTGCATAATCTCTGTTTGGGTGGTGTGCATAATCTCTGTTTGGGTGGTGTGCATAATCTCTGTTTGGGTGGTGTGTGTAATCTTTGTTTGGGTGGTGTGCGTAATCTCTGTTTGGGTGGTGTGCGTAATCTCTGTTTGGGTGGTGTGCGTAATCTTTGTTTGGGTGGTGTGTGTAATCTCTGTTTGGGTGGTGTGCATAATCTCTGTTTGGGTGGTGTGTGTAATCTCTGTTTGGGTGGTGTGTGTAATCTTTGTTTGGGTGGTGTGCGTAATCTTTGTTTGGGTGGTGTGTGTAATCTCTGTTTGGGTGGTGTGCGTAATCTCTGTTTGGGTGGTGTGTGTAATCTTTGTTTGGGTGGTGTGCGTAATCTCTGTTTGGGTGGTGTGCGTAATCTCTGTTTGGGTGGTGTGTGTAATCTCTGTTTGGGTGGTGTGTGTAATCTTTGTTTGGGTGGTGTGTGTAATCTCTGTTTGGGTGGTGTGCATAATCTCTGTTTGGGTGGCGTGCGTAATCTTTGTTTGGGTGGTGTGCGTAATCTTTGTTTGGGTGGTGTGTGTAATCTCTGTTTGGGTGGTGTGCGTAATCTTTGTTTGGGTGGTGTGCGTAATCTTTGTTTGGGTGGTGTGCGTAATCTTTGTTTTGGTGGTGTTTGTAATCTCTGTTTGGGTGGTGTGCGTAATCTCTTTTTGGGTGGTGTGCGTAATCTTTGTTTGGGTGGTGTGCGTAATCTTTGTTTTGGTGGTGTTTGTAATCTCTGTTTGGGTGGTGTGCGTAATCTCTTTTTGGGTGGTGCGCGTAATCTCTGTTTGGGTGGTGTGTGTAATCTGTATGGGTGGTAGCCATGTGTAATGTGGATTGACCTGGTAGCAATTTGTAGGATGGCGTAGCCATTTGTAAGATAAATCAACCTGGTAGCAACTTTAAGGATAGATCGACCTGGTAGCTATTTGTAGAATAGATCAACCTGGTAGCAATTTGTAGGATAGATTGACCTGGTAGCAATTTTTAGGATACGTCTATCTAGTAGCCATTTGTAGGATGGATCAGCCTGGTAGCCGGGGTCAGTTTTGTAAAAGTAAGTCACCTAGGTGAGGATTTGAACCTTATACCTTTGGACCATCTGGTGAAAATGATGCTACACTATACTAGATGTAGACAGTGAGTAAATAGTAAGATACAGTGAGTAAGTGTGACATACAGACAATGAATAAACGAACAAACTATTTTCGAAGGGTTAAAAATTGGTCATGCATGCCCATCTTACATTCTGTCTTTCCGAACACCCCTCTTTCATATAAATATATGAATATCAAGGAAAAACACGAAAGGTGGATGGTAAATACAAGCTTACATGCGCATACACCAACTCATTCACTCATGCATTCACTCACTGATACACATGAATATACATACATTACATAATAGATAGATGCATACATAAAAACACACATAATTTACATGCACCTACATCCATACGAACACACACACACACTCACATTCATGCATAAGGAAAATTGTGATAAGGACAAAAAGTCATAGTTCCCCGCTGAACAGGAAAGGTAAAGAAAAGACAAGGGGTTCTTCTCTGTAGAACCCAAAAGATATCTGTATGTTGAGTTACATAGCAACAACCTAACTACATGGCTACATTCACCTAGACAACCACATGCACGGACTACAGATCTTAAATTGAATCCAGCAAATGAATTATAATCATGACATTAAACAGCTGTTTATTTTACTGAACTAAACACAAAATTAATGTATACTTCACAGATAATATATTAACAACCACCGCTGTGCTCGACCAGAATCTAAAGTTCTAAATCTCCAGCTAACAAGGAAATATGATAATAAACTCATATGCTCAGAAAAATTACCTCAACAATGGCAAAAACCGAAACATATTAACATGTTTGTTAAGGTTCAATATACTTCGAGACCAGTAAATCACTTATAGCGACCTGCAATAAAATTATCTCCGAGTGAGGATACACACTGATATATCTACCCACACAGTTTAACTACTAGAGACAAATTCAGATTTAACTGTGGAAACATACCACCGCCTTGAAATCAGCCAGGTAATCGGTCATTCCCCCCCCCCCCCCCCTTTCCAATCATCCATACCCACGCTTTTTTGCCCAATTTGCAGAGCCACAACAAATGGGTGGGTCTCAACCCCTCCCCCCCAAGTGTGACCTCAGGTTCAGTCCGGAAGCCAAAATGAGACCAGTTTTTTTGGGAGTTGGCCTTTTTATACACAGTGGCCAGGTTTCTTCAAATTTGCAATTCAAGCTGCTCAACAGCGGTCTTTGACATTCTTAGCCTGTCACACATACATATTTATACACTAACACAAGCATACACCTATTAATATATTTAGCACACATACAACATACATACACATTCATGCATACCCACCCACGTTCACTCTGATTTATATTATGATAAACACACATATAGCACCATGCCTACAAAGACTTTAAATATCCAAGCATGCCAAACATATACACTCACACATATTTACGCTCATACATACACATACAGCATACATCACCACACTCGAACATACCAAAATATACACAAATACCCCTATACACACAACTACCCAGACATATGTAACATACATACACGCATGCCTACATCTACACACACTCATACGTCCACACTTATACATCAGATCTCGAATTTGGTGGTTCTCAGTCATGCATTGTCCAGAAATCCATCACAGATCAGTCTATTTCCAACGCATGTTTGCCATTTCTTCTCAACGGTCAACTCTTAACACCACTGTTTAAATCAACGCAAGATGGTCTGCAGCCAAATCGCCTGCAGCTGGGAACGAGCCCGGCAATTTGAAGTGCGTTCGCAATGCAAAAAACACAAACGCCGATACACACTGACAATGTGAAAGTCAAAAGTGCGGAATATTAAAGTACGTGATACAAACTTCAACTGTTCTAATATACTCAGAGAAGAAATACAATATTGAGATAATCTGGAAATAAGGTATTGTATGCCCTACAATACAGGACGTTGCAGAACCAACCCCAACAGCCCCTGGCTGTTGTGTGGTTTTTCTAGGCAAATTTGCGTCCAGTAGTTTGCCAATGCTACTGGACGGTCGGCTTTCTTGATACCACTACCGAAACCAACGCAAGGCGCTTGGCTGCAGCTGGGATCGAACCCAGCATCAAAGCATTACGAAGCGTTCGCATCGACTTATGCCCTCTAACGTTTGCTAAAATCATAGTTCATGTTAGAGATCATCTTCATCGGACATGACCATAAGTGGTCCGATCTCCTGAGTATGTCTCTATCCTAGCAACTCCCATTCAGTTCTGGTTGATGTAACGATAGGTGTCTCTCGCATGCTTTTCCTGTCTCGCGGCTTCAACTGGTACACCCAGGGTTTGCAGTCTATTCAGTGAAAAATCATGATCCACGAAACTGAAAGCCTCACCGCGTTTAATCCCTTGAATGGCATTGATAATGTCTCCCTTGTCCAAAGAGGGCCCATTCCTGATAGTCGCTCTGTCAACCAGAGCGTCTGCTCTCTCATTGCTGTTCACACCAGCATACCCTGGGACAAAAATGAAGGCGATTGTGCAAATTGCTGCGTGCTGAATCAAATCGAGCCACTGTTTCCGTATGTAACCCCGCCTTGGTCTTCTTTAGTATGCTCAATGGGCCTTCAGCTATTCTAGTGCCTTTGTGACATCCATGACCTCCATTGTCATGCTGCTGGTAGTAGAAGCAAAGGCTTCAATGTCTTCTTTGATGACTTTCCCTTTGATTCTTGCCGTGAAAGCCCACGCACTAAGCTTCTTACGAATCACAGAACCATCTTTAAAAATAACAGCATCTTCTGGTGATGTGTGTTCCTCCACCGATACTTTCACTTCTGCATCAATTTTGTTGGTGGTGCCAAATCGCGACACTGGCACGTCAGGGTGATAACCACCACAAAGTATTGTTTGTATTCATGTGGTATGGGTATCCATTCCTCTCCACGGTATATGTCTTGAAGTGAAAATTTAGTTCATCGTGCAGTGGGTGTGTAATGTCCAGTGATTGTGAGGAAGGGCAGGTTTGACGCATTTCTAGACCGTTGTTGATATTTGGAAGACCTGGTTGGTATCATATTGCTCAATGCTCGGCGGGTGACATTTTCAGTAATGAGCTTCCCAGGTTTTGAAGGCTGAATAAGAATAATACAAACTTATCAGCATATATGAAAACTGAGATCGGTGATGTGACAATTGTGTGATGTGTATTAGTAGTACATTTTACCCCACTAGTGCCACCATGCGGATGAGGATCACCCGTGGGGAAGTCCCAGAAATCGCGTTCAGCCATTAGGCCATATTCATGGCCGGGCTATATTGCGACCCTGGTAAGAGCCAAAGTGGGGCTTCAAAATAACGAAAAATTAAATCCCCCAAGGAGATGACGAGAATTATGTGCTGTGTATAGAACTATATGAGGCTTCTATGCTGGTGATGTGACACTTATGTGCTGTGTTTAGTAGTAGTAGATTTTTACCCCACAAGGACATCACACAAGCGATAAACACCCGATGACACAAAGTGCCACCATGTGGATGAGGTTCGCCGTGGAGAGGTCCGAGAAACCGTGTTCAGCCATTAGACCATTTTTATTTTCGGGCTTCATTGCGGTTCCTGACAAGAGCCAGAGTAGTGCTTCAAATAGCTAAAATTGCATCTCACAAGGAGATGAGTGTATTGATTGGACACACAAACAGTGTTGTGTTTAAAACAACATGAGGCTTCTATGCTGGTGATGTGACAATTGTGTGCTGTGTATAGAACAACATTAGGCTTCTATGCTGGCGATATGACAATTTTGTGCTATGTATAGAACAACATGAGGCTTCTATGCTGACGATATGACAACTGTGTGCTGTGTATAGAACAACATGAGGCTTCTATGCTGGTGATATGACAACTGTGTGCTGTGTATAGAACAACATGAGGCTTTTATGCTGGCGATATGACAACTGTGTGCTGTGCATAGAACAACATGAGGCTTCTATGCTGGTGATGTGACAATTGTGTGCTGTGTATAGAACAACATTAGGCTTCTATGCTGGCGATATGACAACTGTGTGCTGTGCATAGAACAACATGAGGCTTCTATGCTGGTGATATGACAACTGTGTGCTATGTATAGAACAACATGAGGCTTCTATGCTGGTGATATGACAACTGTGTGCTATGTATAGAACAACATGAGGCTTCTATGGTGGTGCGGCCCAACGTACCCTTGCCCTTACTTTGAGAGGATAGGCTGAAAGAGATGTTCAAGGGCAATAAACATGCCCAGGCTTAAAGAATATTTTATTTTTTGTAGCCTCCCTTGTTGTTGAACTTGTCCAGGAAACAACGGCCCATCTGCTGATATCAACACAGAAGCTACTGCACCGTAACCAGTCCAGCCAGGACACTACAGTCAAATAATGCCATTTTCGACACCCTCCCAAGTTCTTCTGCGGCATGGTCTGAGGTATTTTCTGTCAGTTAACCCGGCCAGCGTTGTCAACGACATGTTGTCAGCGAAGAAAGTATACGAACAAATAATTATTTATTGGTATAATTACATATAATATTAGATGCAAGTACAAAGGTCATTTTTTACATTTTATTTTGTTAATCCCGTCTCAGTGGGAGACACAAAACACATTTATATTTTTTTAATTTTAAAGCCTCCCCCTGGCTGTCGTCAGGGGCGTAACTTTAGTCTTATTCTTAGTGGAGGTTTCAGATTTATTGCAATCCCTCATACTTCAAATATCAGCAGAGGGGCTACGACTTTAAAAATAGGGCTCTACACGGACCAGAGGCCTAAACCTAAGCACAGAAAGATCATTAATACAATTTAACTGTCAACGAGAAGTCCCGGGTCGCAGTTGAATAGCCTTGCCAGACTTGCTCCGTTTCTGTACCAGTGAAAAATCAAATGAAAAGTCCGTCACTGTCTCATGTGAAAAACTGTTGAACAAACAATTAGTCCCAAAACGTGCACACACAGTAAATGCATATGACAGTTCCTATATGTACATACAAATACATATATTTTTGTGCGTGTGGTTGAGAAGAGATTATATTAAACAAGGCGCAATCTATAGAAGGCTTAGAGAACAACTAGTCATACAGTTCTGTAGCTCTTTCAGGCCCAATAAACGCATCATACGTTCCTACCTAGCACACCAGTGAACACAAGATGTAAAACTTGTATGTCTCTCTTGGCTACCCCTTGGGTCTCTGATGCTAAACCCCCTGGGGCTGAAAGAGTTAAAGAGCAACAGATAAGATGAAATGTAATGCATAGAGTGCAAAGGGAAGCAGCATAGAAGATGTAAATGCACACAGTGTAAGAAGAAGACCATACAGAATTGTTATGCACATAGTCCAAGGGGAAGACCATACAGAAGTTGTAAATGCTTATAGTGCAAGGGGGAGACCATACAGAAGTTGCGAATGCAAAGAGTGCAAGGGAAAAGCACATATAAGTTGTAAATGCACACAGTGCAAGGGAAAGACCATGCATAAGTTGTAAATGCACACAGTGCAAGGGAAAGACCATGCATAAGTTGTAAATACACACAGTGCAAGTGAAAGACCATGCTGAATTTGTAATAACGGCATCAAGAACAGCCTCACAGAAATAAACATCAACTTTTGCAGTGCATTAGACAGAGCACACAGATGATGCTGACATCTGCCCTCAGCATTTCATCTGTAGCCAGATGTGAAAACTGTCATGTTTGGTCACTTATCTTTCAGATCTGCTTCCAAGTTTTGCACAAGAAGATTCACTGTGGCCAAAGTGCCTTGTGCTGCAGATGCCTTATACAAAGCTGCAGTATGTGTTCAGCTTGGAGCCCCTCTGCAAGTCCAGCAGAGGCCTTACCCAAGCCAACTGAATGCCAATGAGGTTTGTAATAAACTGATTGTACAAAAGTATTTCTTTTTTGTCCTGTATAGATATATAGACATGGAGACAGTTCTTCTAACAGAATGTGCAGTAGTGTCCTGTAGAGATATATAGACATGGAGACAGTTCTTCTAACAGAATGTGCAGTAGTGTCCTGTAGAGATATATAGACATGGAGACAGTTCTACTGACAGAATGTGCAGTAGTGTCCTGTAGAGATATGTAGACATGGAGACAGTTCTTCTAACAGAATGTGCAGTAGTGTCCTGTAGAGATATGTAGACATGGAGACAGTTCTACTGACAGAATGTGCAGTAGTGTCCTGTAGAGATATATAGACATGGAGACAGTTCTTCTAACAGAATGTGCAGTAGTGTCCTGTAGAGATATATAGACATGGAGACAGTTCTACTGACAGAATGTGCAGTAGTGTCCTGTAGAGATATATAGACATGGAGACAGTTCTACTGACAGAATGTGCAGTAGTGTCCTGTAGAGATATGTAGACATGGAGACAGTTCTTCTAACAGAATGTGCAGTAGTGTCCTGTAGAGATATGTAGACATGGAGACAGTTCTACTGACAGAATGTGCAGTAGTGTCCTGTAGAGATTTGTAGACATGGAGACAGTTCTACTGACAGAATGTGCAGTAGTGTCCTGTAGAGATATGTAGACATGGAGACAGTTCTACTGACAGAATGTGCAGTAGTGTCCTGTAGAGATATGTAGACATGGAGACAGTTCTACTGACAGAATGTGCAGTAGTGTCCTGTAGAGATATGTAGACATGGAGACAGTTCTACTGACAGAATACGGTTTAGAGCCATGTCAGGATTGTGTTGTTCTACTGATAACAGTTTTCAGTAGAACAACAGAAGTTTATCTTGGTATCCTAAGACCTGCTGTGCTTTTACCTCATTGTCTGCTTGACATGTTGTCTTTGCCACCAGTGCAGCAGAACTGTGGGAGTCAATCAATATTTCTTTACTATCCCAGGACTTGTATTTTCCTTATTTGATATTTTACTGGCTCAGTAACAGTTGACCCATGGTCTAACCTGTTTTTATTGTTTTAATTTGCTTAAATTTGTGGATTATGAGAACAGGTAAATTATGAGATTTTTGTAGACTGGAACGATTGAAAGAAAGAAAACAGTGACACGCATTTCTATAGTGAATTTTGAAAAAGTAAATTTTGAGACACATTTGTGGAGTTTATGAAAAGATGAATTCTCTTGTACATTGCTGAAATTCAAACAAAATCATAAATTATTGGAACACAGTTGTGAAGTGTGTGATCATCATCATCATCATGTGTTACTTGATTGTGCCTCAGATATAATTGGTGTGACCTGCTATTGAATGAAACTGTAACCAACTTTAGTTTCTGTTCTGACTGTTTTCATTTGCAGAAATTATTTCTGAAAGTACAAGCATGAATAACTGTTTCTATCAGGTCCTAATCTCAACTCATGCTGTGGGAATAAACTTTGCAGACATTCTGATGTGTAAAGGACAGTATCAGGACAGACGTAGGACACCATTTACACCAGGTTAGTGTCTGAAGGAGAGTATCCTTGTCTGCCGGAGAGTATCCTTGTCTGCAGGAGTGTATCCTTGTCTGCAGGAGTGTATCCTTGTCTGCAGGAGTGTATCCTTGTCTGCAGGAGAGTATCATTGTTTGTAGGAGTGTATTCTTGTCTGCAGGAGTGTAGCCCTATCTGCAGGTGTGTATCCTCAACTGCAGTAGTGTATACTTGTCTGCAGTAGTGTATCCTTGTCTGCAGGAGTGTATCCTTGTCTGCAGGAGTGTATCATTGCAGGAGTGTATCCTTGTCTGCAGGAGTGTACCCTTGTCTGCAGGAGTGTATCATTGCAGGAGTGTAGCCATGTCTGCAAGAGTATCCTTGTCTGCAGGAGTATATTTTTGTCTGCAATTCTTTGTGTTCTGTTATTTTAACATTTAATCAAGGATACACTCCTGCAGATAAGGCTATACATACATATGTATATGTGTGTGTGTATATATGTGTACGTATATATGTTATACATATATAAAAGGTCCGACAATTAAGTAATGAGACTAATTTTATTATTGCTAAGAACAAAATTTCAATCTATGAAGCAAAGAATGGAATCTGAAGAGGCAACATCTATCTATGATCTGGCAACTTTTCATCGCTGATCGATAAACAGACAACAAACAAGACGCCATTTTGTTGACGTAGTCAGAGATGCATTGTTATGTAATCTGCATGGAGCAAAAAGCTAACATTAAATTCATTTTAAAACTTAGAAAAGGCACCATTGAAACAACTGAATTGATGCAGGTTTATGGCGATAATTGTTTATCTCGTGCACAAATGTGTAGGTGGTTTTCACTTTTAAAAGTGGCGTGGAAATGAGTACTAACGCACCGGGACCTGGACACCAAGTGGCACGATCTAACAAACACTGGAACGACCTCTGTAGTTCTTCTGCTGTTATGGCCCTTAAAGTCGATGTTATGGCCCTTTGGATGTCCTTTAATCATAACTTTAATTTTGGGAATAGAAAATAATAACTGGGAGACAAATCTGGGGAATAGAGTGGAAGGTTGATAACACACACTTGTTTTTTTTGTGGCCCAAAATTCTTGTGTTGATGATTTCTCTCTTACGACATGCTTGTTAGGGGCAGTAGATCTATTCTTGTTCTTGTCCTCCACAAGGGGCCTCAGGGCCCACACAGAGAGCTGTGTCTCATGAGGATTCAAGTTGTTCAGACAATTGTTGACATGATTTCCTAAATGTTTCAACTGATTAACTTGTTTTCCAAGCTGTGATACCATTTATTAGGTGTTCCTTGTGTTTTTTCAATTAAAAAAAAAAAACATGTACAGGTACAGAAATTTCCGGAAAAGTAGTGGAGGTGGGGACTGGAGTCTCCAGAATCAAGACTGGGGACAGGGTTATTGCTCTAGATTTCGCTCAGTCTGGAGGGGCCTCAGAACTATTTGTGGCACCAGCTAAGGTAAACTTTTACTGTTTTTATTTTTTTTTTATTTTGAGTGTGTTCTTCCTCTGTCATTGAATGTGTTTGGTGGATAACAATAACAGTGTTTGCTTTTAATTACAGCAGGTTATGGGATTGTATTGTGTTGTATGTCATTAACTCAAGCTACTCATATAGTGGATGTAATTAATGTACATTCTGTATGTTGTGAGTCGATCCCCTGGAGTTGGAAACTGCAGCTTTAAATCAGTATATCCTCCAGATTTGTAAACTAGTTCTTTAAGTCAATCAGTCCGTGAGACATGAATACTATACCTTTGTCAATCAATTCCTGGAAGGGAAACGGCACATGTAAGTGAGTCCTTGGACCAGAGGTAGATACTGTGTGTTTAAGTCTGTCCAGTACAGATGAAAACTGCCTGCATGTTTATCCACCAGATATAAAAACTATACCTTTTAGCTGGTCAATCCACAAATCAGCAAAAGTATACCTTTTAACCTTTTAGCTGGTCAATCCACCAATCAGGAAAAGTATGCCTTTTAGCTGGTCAATCCACAAATCATGAAAACTATACATTTTATCTGGATAATCCACTCAACACGAAAATGATGCCTTCAAATCAGTCAATCAACTAACATGAAAACTATACCTCTAAATCTGTCCACGTCCTGTTGTTGGACTTAAGTCCATTGACTAAAGTTACCTACTGTTTAGGTGGTTGTATGCAGTACTTCTAAGCCACACCAACTTAAATGTTAATTCAGCAGTGATTGCTTTAAACAGTGGACATTTTGTCTATGATTTGTATTGCTTCAAAAATAAAATTGCCTTTTTTTTTTTTTTTAAACCATGTCACCAGAGAAGACTAAATCTAGATCTTTCCGATTGTGACACAGTCCCATAAATACTAATATGTCTCTATGTATGTTGTGACACAGTCCCATAAATACTAATATGTCTCTATGTATGTTGTGACACAGTCCAATAAATACTAATATGTCTCTATGTATGTTGTGACGCAGTCCCATAAATACTAATATGTCTCTATGTATGTTGTGACACAGTCCAATAAATACTAATATGTCTCTATGTATGTTGTGACGCAGTCCCATAAATACTAATATGTCTCTATGTATGTTGTGACGCAGTCCAATAAATACTAATATGTCTCTATGTATGTTGTGAGACAGTCCCATAAATACTAATATGTCTCTATGTATGTTGTGACTCAGCCTCATAAATGCTGATATGTTTCTATGTATGTTGTGACACAGTCCAATAAATACTAATATGTCTCTATGTATGTTGTGAGACAGTCCCATAAATACTAATATGTCTCTATGTATGTTGTGACTCAGCCTCATAAATGCTGATATGTTTCTATGTATGTTGTGACACAGTCCAATAAATACTAATATGTCTCTATGTATGTTGTGACACAGTCCCATAAATACTAATATGTCTCTATGTATGTTGTGACACAGTCCAATAAATACTAATATGTCTCTATGTATGTTGTGACGCAGTCCCATAAATACTAATATGTCTCTATGTATGTTGTGACGCAGTCCAATAAATACTAATATGTCTCTATGTATGTTGTGAGACAGTCCCATAAATACTAATATGTCTCTATGTATGTTGTGACACAGTCCAATAAATACTAATATGTCTCTATGTATGTTGTGACGCAGTCCCATAAATACTAATATGTCTCTATGTATGTTGTGACGCAGTCCAATAAATACTAATATGTCTCTATGTATGTTGTGAGACAGTCCCATAAATACTAATATGTCTCTATGTATGTTGTGACACAGCCTCATAAATGCTGATATGTTTCTATGTATGTTGTGATCTGTTCTTGAAAAGTGTTGTTCAGTTCCATTGGTTCTGTGTGCTCCTGTGCAGTATTTTATAGACCAATAGTTTCATATAGTAACTAAAAATAGCATTTAAGGGGTTTCTTATGACCCTAGTGGCTTTTTAAAAGTCAGGTTCCCCCGAAGCTTCAGTAATAGAGGTCACAGGGTCAATAGTGCTACATCCTGGTGTAATATTGCTACATTCTGGTGTAATATTGCTACATTCTGGTGTAATATTGCTACATGCTGATATAATATTGCTACATGCTGGTGTAATATTGCCACATTAAAGTATAATTTGTTACAAATCAGGTGTAGTGTTCCTATATTCTGGGATAATAATTCTACTTCAAGGTGTACCTTCCTTTATTCAGGCAGTTTTCCCAATACCAGACCACCTGGGTTTTGTTGAAGCTGCAGCAACGATAGTTTCTTACAGTACCGCCATGTTAGCACTGTCTAGAAAAGCACAGCTCAAAAAGGGTAAGTACTCTTGTTGTTCTGAGTTCCCTGCAGTGTTCATGGGTATAATATAAATAAATGACAAATAACTGGAACTTTGTGCCATCATTAACAGCCGATAAAAGTGAAGAAGATGATTCTCAGCCTGAAGATTTAGTCACATGACTAGTCCATTTGCTATGAACTGTGTAGGTTAATATTGAATAAATCATCAGTAACACAGAAGTATGGCTCAGATAGTTAGCTGAAATACTACTGAATTCTGGGTGAATAATAGATGGAAATAATGAATTAAGTAAACAACCACTTCCTTGTTGTTGAAATAGGTCATATGACGCTAGACTATTTTTATATACCAACTGGCCCTTGATGGGTGACACCCATTTTATACTGGTCTACATGGGAGATGGCAGCCACCCTGGTGTGATGGCTAGATGGTCACTTGCAGACCCTAATGGTGGGCTCAAATCTGCATAGAGCCTGATTTTTCTTAAACATAATCTTGACTGCTGGGTTGATCCAGCCTTAAATGGGTACTAGGTAACATCCTGGGAAGTAAAGGTGGCTGGTGTGATGTTGGCCCAATCAGCCATCAAGAGCCTGTTGGTCTATAAAACTTTAAGTCTAGCTTCATACATTGAGTGTGCCGACCTGGTGTATCATACATTGAGTGTGCCAACCTGGTGTGTCATACATTGAGTGTGCTGACCTGGTGTGTCATACATAGAGTGTGTCACCTGGTGTGTCATACATTGAGTGTGCTGACCTGGTGTGTCATACATTGAGTGTGCCACCTGGTGTGTCATACATTCAGTGTGCCACCTGGTGTGTCATACATTGAGTGGGTCACCTGGTTTGTCATACATTGAGTGTGCCGACCTGGTGTGTCATACATTGAGTGTGCCACCTGGTGTGTCATACATTGAGTGTGCCACCTGGTGTGTCATACATTGAGTGTGTCACCTGGTGTGTCATACATTGAGTGTGCTGACCTGGTGTGTCAAACATTGAGTGGGTCACCTGGTTTGTCATACATTGAGTGTGTCACCTGGTGTGTCATACATTGAGTGAGTCACCTGGTGTGTCATACATTGAGCGTGTCACCTGGTGTGTCAAACATTGAGTGTGCTGACCTGGTGTGTCATACATTGATCATATATTTTAGTTTAATGCTATTATAATTAGTAGGGAAGAAGCAAGAATTCAGCAGGTGTTTATTTACAAAGCCATTAAACCCCTCCACCCCCCCCCCCCCCATCCCCGCCTCCTTTTCGTCTGATTCACTTTCCCCCCCCAAATTCAAGTTTTAATTATTATAAGAATTAGAAGGAAAAAAACATGTGACTGAAACATTTTTAGAGCTTCAGCCAAAGAAAGGTGTATTTTTGAGCCTGTGCTTGTGTTAAGAACATTGGCATCTATGGCCAGTCCAAATCGGAATCAGAAAATTCACTGTCTGTAAATGACGCTAGCAATGAATGTATAAATATGTACCCAAATGTGTGAACAAAGACTTGTATGGAAAGAAAAATGTTAGAGTAACCTTTCCTGAATACTTTAATGGTAGTTCCGAACATTAAAAACAAATACAGAGCTGTATACAAATCAATATATACTGGACACAGGATCGACACAGACTATGTGGTTTAGGCAAACTGGAACTTCTCATTCAACACATGCAGTGTTGCTTGGGCCTCAAAGAGTTAAGTAGCTCTGGCCATAGCTGCTCTAATATTGTTTCATTTGCTAGGAAAATGAATTTTGAAAAACTAGAATTAGCTAAATAAAATCTTTTCATTTTTGAAGCTTGGCATTGTGAGTGGATTGCTTTCTGACTTGTTTTAAATTAAATCAGTCTAATAAAATTGTTGCGTGATTTTCCTGAAAGGTAGAGCTCAAAGAGTGATCAAAATTCAGGCTTTAGATTGTATCCAGTGATTGTTAGAGGAAGAAAAAGGTGATTCTAATGATACCTTAGATTCTAAACTTTTTTTTTTTTATAAAGATGTCAATAATGACATTGATTGGGATTACCATGGCAGACTAAATAGTAAGGCTAACCTAAACATTGATTGTGAATACCATGGCATACCAAATAGTAAGGCTAACCTAAACATTGATTGTGAATACCATGGCAGACTAAATAGTAAGGCTAACCTAAACATTGATTGTGATTACCATGGCAGACTAAATAGTAAGGCTAACCTAAACATTGATTGCGATTACCATGGCATACCAAATAGTAAGGCTAACCTAAACCTTGATTGTGATTACCATGGCATACCAAATAGTAAGGCTAACCTAAACATTGATTGTGATTACCATGGCATACCAAAAAGTAAGGCTAACCTAAACATTGATTGTGAATACCATGGCAGACTAAATAGTAAGGCTAACCTAAACATTGATTGTGATTACCATGGCATACCAAATAGTAAGGCTAACCTAAACATTGATTGCGATTACCATTTCAGACTAAATAGTAAGGCTAACCTAAACATTGATCGTGAATACCATCGCATACCAAATAGTAAGGCTAACCTAAACATTGATTGCGATTACCATGGCATACCAAATAGTAAGGCTAACCTAAACATTGATTGTGAATACCATGGCATATCAAATAGTAAGGCTAACCTAAACATTGATTGTGAATACCATGGCATACCAAATAGTAAGGCTAACCTAAACATTGATTGTGAATACCATGGCATATCAAATAGTAAGGCTAACCTAAACATTGATTGCGATTACCATCGCATACCAAATAGTAAGGCTCACCTAAACAATAAAACAGCTAGATCTAGAACTCTCCATACCGCTGCTGCTGCTGCTGCTGTCATTGATGAATCTCAGCCATCAAATGACAGTAGTCTTGGCATAATGATTAATAATGCCAATGCCGCCACCTATTGGTGAAATTTTTCATCCGATTGTCATTGTTTCGGCCAGCTATGTCAGCTATTTGACATATCACAGAAAAAAATGGTCATAAAATCCAGTATTCAGATTAATTGTTTGAGATGATGCATAACTGAACAAATAAGTATATGAATTCTTAGAAATGGATCGCAGTGTTGTTGGTAGAGTAAACAAGTCATGTAAGCTCAACATTTCATGTGTAAAAAAATCTTCATATGTTTCTAAAATCACTGAACCTGGTATCATTTTAATATTTTATCATTGCAGTACTGATCCTTCAATAGTTTACATGTTTTCTGTATTTGTTTCGCTAGATGTTTTATGTAGCACTAAACAGCCAATACTATCTCATTAGAAAGGTTTTATCTTTTCTTGTAGCAGTAAACAATATTCCGTTTAAAACTGATTCTGTCCAAACCCCTAGAAAAAAATGCTGCCCTTAAAAAGTTCAGGAACATTAGAATGTTCTTGAAATGTCTATTGTGTAAAAATCACCAACAAAGGGAGTAGAATCCTTCATGGCAGTGTTCATCAGTGGTCTGCGGAAATGTCTGCCCAATAGTGTCCTGATTTCAGCACTGCATTGCTTCAGAAATGTTCTAATCTCTAACCAACAGCACATGTTGTATCAGCTGAGAATTGTGATTCTGTTAAATCAGCTTTAATAAATCTACTGCTATCGACAATTGTCTTAGAGCTGTCTGCTGGCCTGCAAAACAGTTTTCCCTGCTTGACTGGTCAACTTGTGTGAAAAAGGTTAAGAACACTGCTTTACACATTTTTGTAAACAGTATGTTGTAACATAAATCGTAAGCCATTATTCACATACATGTTGGATACATGCCTGCTACTGTCTTGTTTGATACTTCACTCACCTAAATTGTCACACTAGCAATAATTTTGTCAGCATCCTTGAAACCCTGTCCTTGAATCACTATCCTTGATTCATTGTCCTTGAATCAGTGTCCTCGAATCATTGTCCTTGAATGTGTGTTCTTGAATCACTGTCCTTAAATCAATGTCCTTGAATCATTGTTCTTGAATCATTGTCCTTGAATCATAGTCTTTGAATCACTGCCCTAGAATCAGTGGCCTTTGAATCAGTGTCTATGAACTAATGTCATTGAATCACTGTCCTTTGAATCAGTGTTCTTGAATTGCTGTCTTTGAATTGCTGTTCCTCGCATCATTGTCATTGAATCACTATCCTCAAATCAGTGTCCTGTCACTGTTGTCCTGACCCTGTCTTAAAATCACTGACCTGAAATCACTGCTGTAAAATTATTGTCCTTGAATGGCTGTCATACAATTGCTAGTCGTGAATCACTGTATCATTTATTTATTGTAATTATCTGGATTTTTGAAATCTCATTTATAAACTTTTCTAGTGAGAGAGTTCTCATTACAGCTGCTGCAGGTGCTACCGGTCTTGCTGCAGTGGACATAGCCAAAAACTTGTTTGATTGTGAAGTAAGTACAGTCTGAACACTTTGGCCTGTATGGTGTCAAATCGTAAGTTTGGCTGTCAAGTTTTACCTTGATCCATTTACTTGCAGCCTGTAGAGTTTAAAATTGGGAAGTTAAACATGTCATGTTCACTTCTGATGTGTGACTTTTAATATTTGCTTTGTTCACCTACTATGTGTGAAGTTTAACATTCACCAGTTCACTCGGTTTCTTTGGATTTTACCATTTGCTAGTTAACTCAAAATCTTTGAAGTTTTTCTTAAGCCATTTCACTCAATATCTTTGCAGTTTAATGTTTGCCATGTTTCACTCACTATATGTGAAGTTTAATATTCATCTGTTTCACTCACTATATGTGAAGTTTAACATTGCCTGTGTGATGTAAAATGATGACTTTATCATTCACTCACTGTCTGTAAAGTTAAACTTCTTGTGTTTGCGGTCTATCCACACCTGATAGTTCACATTGTATGCCATTCATTGGCATGTGTTCCACAGTGCTATCTCTTGTATGTCGCAATCATTTATGATAAATGTGTTTTTTCTTCAAGGACTGTATCAACAAGCAACCGTTTTAATGTCTGTCTAATCCTCTAACATTCTTGTTGTTCAGTGGTCCCTGTCTCAGGGATTGTCCAGTGTTCCTCATCTCAGGGATTGTCTAGTGTTCCTCATCTCAGGGATTGTCTTGTGTTCCTCATCTCAGGGATTGTTTTGTGTTCCTCATCTCAGAGATTGTCTTGTGTTCCTAATCTCAGGGATTGGCTAAAGTAGTGGTCCCCCTCTTTGGGATTGTCTAAAGCAGTGTTCCTCATCTCAGGGATTGTCTTGTGTTCCTCATCTCAGGGATTGTCTAGTGTTCCTCATCTCAGGGATTGTCTAGTGTTCCTCATCTCAGGGATTGTCTTGTGTTCCTCATCTCAGGGATTGTCTAGTGTTCCTCATCTCAGGGATTGTCTAGTGTTCCTCATCTCAGGGATTGTCTAGTGCTCCTCATCTCAGGGATTGTCTAGTGTTCCTCATCTCGGGGATTGGCTAAAGTAGTGGTCCCCCTCTTTGGGATTGTCTAAAGCAGTGTTCCTCATCTCAGGGATTGTCTTGTGTTCCTCATCTCAGGGATTGTCTTGTGTTCCTCATCTCAGAGATTGTCTTGTGTTCCTAATCTCAGGGATTGGCTAAAGTAGTGGTCCCCCTCTTTGGGATTGTCTAAAGCAGTGTTCCCAATCTCAGGGATTGTCTAGTGTTCCTCATCTCAGGGATTGTCTAGTGTTCCTAATCTCAGGGATTGTCTAGTTCCTCATCTCAGGGATTGTCTTGTGTTCCTCATCTCAGGGATTGTCTTGTGTTCCTCATCTCAGGGATTGTCTTGTGTTCCTAATCTCAGGGATTGTCTAGTGTTCCTCATCTCAGGGATTGTCTAGTGTTCCTTATTTCAGGGATTGTCTAGTGTTCCTCATCTCAGGGATTGTCTAGTGTTCCTCATCTCAGGGATTGTCTTGTGTTTCTCATCTCAGGGATTGTCTTGTGTTCCTCATCTCAGGGATTGTCTAGTGTTCCTCATCTCAGGGATTGTCTAGTGTTCCTCATCTCAGGGATTGTCTTGTGTTCCTCATCTCAGGGATTGTCTTGTGTTCCTCATCTCAGGGATTGTCTAGTGTTCCTCATCTCGGGGATTGGCTAAAGTAGTTGTCCCCCTCTTTGGGATTGTCTAAAGCAGTGTTCCTCATCTCAGGGATTGTCTTGTGTTCCTCATCTCAAGGATTGGCTAAAGTAGTGGTCCCCCTCTTTGGGATTGTCTAAAGCAGTGTTCCCCATCTCAGGGATTGTCTAGTTTTCCCCATTGTCTGAAGTATGGGGATTGTCTGCTTCCTGTGTCAGTAACTATGACTTGGGTTTATGTTGAGATTTCCTGCTTGCTGTTGTTATCTGTCCAGAAAGTTTTCAGTGTTCTCGTACACAACTGGTTCTCAACATTTATTCACCATCATCATCATGTGAGGCAGAGGTTGCATCAGCGCATGAACTGTAGACCAAGGTCAGGGGCTCCTATAGGTCAGAACCTCCCTACACCCCTACATGGCCTTAGAGGCAGGTTCCTTTCTGGCAGCTGGGTCAACATTTCCTTCAGAGCAAAAAGCAGAAAACATCATCATTATCATCTTCATTATCATCTTCATTATCATCTTCATCATCATGTCCCAGATGCAGAACAATGTTTCTGAAACATACCCTATACCCTGTGTCTTGGGAGCAAGTCAGCGACACAATTCAGGTAATGATTTCAAGACCAGTGGACTCATAGCTGGAGGTTAGTCCAGTCATTATCATTATCATCATCAGTTTCCACTTCTGCCGCTGAGCATAATCCAGAGGAACAGTTTGCGATCCATTGCTTTGTGGGCAGCAATGGCTATTGTCATTCTGTGTCGATGTAGAAGCCCTTTATTGTCATCCATCCATCTTCTCCTAGGGTGGCCTTTTGCCTTCACTTCAGATATTTTCATGTGTTGCGCTTGCACTGGTAGTTGTTCTGGCTGCATTCTTACTAGATGACCAAATCATTTATTTTCTGTTTCTCAATAAATTTGCAGCTTGCTGTTGTTTCTACAGTCTATCTCATAAAATAATTTCTAACTTTGTCTAGGGTGGTTAAGTTGGTGACTTTTCTCAGGCATCTCATTTCACAGATGTTAATGTTACTCAGGTTAGCCTGTGATGATACCAAAGTCCAGCACAGGTAGCACAGTGTTGACATGAATTTGCTGTTTATTGTCTGTTTCTTGGCACTCATGCTTATGTGTGGATGTCTTCATAAAGGTGTCAGTTGGTAAATAAGTGCACTGGCTTGTTGGCATCTTCTATTTCCCGATCTGTTCTCCTATCCTGCAAGAATATTCTTCCTATATATTAAAATTCTTTAACTTGCTTCAGACAAATATCATTCAGCACACTAGAAATTCTACTGACTTAAATCTGAGTAGTATTTTCTTTCCACAGGAAGAAATAGATCCACACACAATAAACAAGCTATTATTTGCAGATGATCAGTGCTCTACAGTAAGGGAAGTAAGCAGACAAAAACATTTGACCAGGCTAAGTTCGTCCAGAATATATTACATGTTCCTAATTTTCTGGACTTTCTGGTCGACTCCTTTAAAGCTGGCTTCTTTTGATATTCTGTCTATGTATATGGTCAGTAAGAGAGGAGAGAGCACACATAGTTCCTCCATAATTCTCAAACAATATCACTTAAACAAATAAATTCTCTAGCAGTTTGCTGTACTTGTCATTGAATCCAGTCACCTTCAAAACTGATCAGCTGCTCTTAGTATGGTCCAGGAAATTATCCAGAACAGTTGTGGATAGATAGTTACACAAAAGATCAGAAACCAGTGGTGTTAAGAACTGGCATCTTTATCACATATCCAGAGACAACATTGCAGATTTAGGTCATCTATTTCAAGCTAACGAAAGAAGAAGATGAAGAAGACAATCACAGCTACGCAAAGTATATACCCCCTGGTAAATTCTGTTCCAACTACACAGCAGAGATCGTAGCACTAAGCAGGCTGTAGAAATGTTACACAACACTAGTTCTGACTGCCACCAAGTGGTCATCTTCACAGATGCGCTATTGGTGCTCCAAGCTCTCAAGAGTTGTAAACCCCACCCCTGAGATCTGAACTTGACAAGGTGGCTGCCCAGAAATGTACTCTACTCCAATGGCTGCCATACCAGTGTAGTATATTAGGAAAAGAAACCGCTTATAAACTTGCTAAGAAAGGGGCAGAATGTGAACAGGAACACAATATAGTAATATACTTTTCGAAAATAAACAGGGCTATCCATTTTATCAGAAGTAAACAGAATCTGGCCAGAAATAACTACCACTTACTTGACCGGCAAGTCAGGACGGGGCATAACAAACTTAGCTGGCATATACACAGGCTTTGTCTAAGTAGGTCACCATGGCATGCAAAATGCCGAACATGTCCCACAAAAATGTCCCTTGTACAGCCCATTCAGAAGGGAATACTCACCCAGTGAGTCAACACCACACTCAGCTGTATGGAACTCAAAGGGAACACCTAAAAACAGTTTTATCACAAGAACTCTTCTGTGGTGTAAATCAGAGAGTGATCACAAGAAGAAGAATGTAGGTAATCACTGTATGTGGAGAGGCATATTCAATCATACACTTTTATGCAGGTAATCGCCATATGTGGAGGAGCAGATAAATGTGCGTTTTTGAAAGAGAGAGGAGCACAACACACAATAGACTATACCCAAGAGAAAATACGTGACAGGGTGAAAGAGATCACACAAGGAGCAGGTGTTAATGTGGTTATGGATCACGTGGGGGGAGACACACTGTTGGAGTGTGTAAAAAGGTAACTTTTTCTATACCTTCCTTGAGTGTGTGAAATCGTAACGTTTTAAATACCTTTCTTGAGTGTGTGAAAAAGTAAATTTTAAGACACGATTGCGCCGTGTGTGAAAAGGTGAATTTTGAGACACATTTGTGAAGTGTGGAAAAGAGACATGCTTGTGAAGTCTGTGAAAAGTTACATACACATTTGTTAAGTGTGTGAAAAGGTAAATTTTGAGAAACAGTTGTTGAGCATATGAAAAAGTAAATTTTGGAAACAGTTGTTGTGCATATGAAAAAGTAAATTTTGAGAAACAGTTGTTGAGCATATGAAAAAGTAAATTTTGAGAAACAGTTGTTGAGCATATGAAAAAGTAAATTTTGAGAAACCGTTGTTGAGCATATGAAAAGGTAAATTTTGAGAAACAGTTGTTGAGCATATGAAAAGGTAAATTTTGAGAAACAGTTGTTGAGCATATGAAAAAGTAAATTTTCTGAAACATACGTTGAGTGTGGAAAAAAGGTACATTTTTAGACAAAAGCAAAATTTTGTTGAAACATTTCTGGAGTACATCAAAAAGGTACTTCTTGATAAGTATTTGCTTAGTGTGTGAAAAAAAAAAATAATTTTGGGACATATTTGTTAAATGTGGGAAAAGGTGAAATTTTGAGAAACATTGTTTGGAAGCAAACAAAAGTGTTAGTTTTTGCAACATGTTTGTGAACTATATGATCATTATCATCATGTGCCAGGCATTGCTGGTCAAGGCTGCCTATCTCACACACTTATCAGTCTAAGATCAAGTCTGTGCTCTTGTTTAATTTAAACCATGTTGTTTTTCCATCCAGGAATTGATGTCTTTGGCTTCACAGTGTTGATCTAGTATACATTCAAGCCTAACTCTTCATATCTGTGTGATAGCATGTACCATTGTGCCACTTGAACACCTCAGTCATTATGGATGAATGGATAGATGGATGGATGTGTATATATATGTGTGTGTGAGGAGTGAGTGCTTGAGTTGATGTGAGTGCGTGCATGTGCGTGCAATTTTACCATCCATGCTTTTGTGTTTTTCCTTGATATTCATAATATGCATATTATTATATGAATATTGCATGTTTTACTGAAAAAATACTATTACAGTGTGAAAGATGGTTATCTGGACGTGCTGAATCTAAGCTGGCCTTCCTGTCCAAATTGTAACCCTTTGAAATAAAAATTTTTTCATTTGTTCATTCTCTAAAAGAAATGTTGATGAGACACTCAGTCCACTACTTGACCTGTGCTCTAAAGTAAATGTTGATGAGACACTCAGTCCACTACTTGATCTGTGCTTTAAAGTAAATGTTGACGAGACACTCAGTCCACTACTTGACCTGTGCTCTAAAGTAAATGTTAAATGTTTGTGTATTCTAGACAAAGCAATAAGGTCTTACTGTGTTCGTAAATTGTTGTTGTGATTGTTATTCGACATTTGCTTCGTTAATATAAATTTCTGTAACCTATGGTGCCATTTCAATGGGTTGAAATGAATTCTGTCTGTATTCCATAGTCGTGGATTTCAAGCTGTACGATAGACATGGCCAATGAGACACCTTTTTTGGGGTGCCTAGTTGACCATGTATCTTAGTGCACTTGTATTCATGGCAAGGCGCAGACGCCATCTGGAGGGGACAGGTTCAATTCCCTGCAAGGTAACTATAGCTTTCGATTTTTATGTTGTCTAGTGTGTTCTTCTATCTTTCTACTTCTTTCTATGAGTGCCGTTCACAATACTTTCTGTTACTTTATTAATTCATAAAGTAAATGTTGACGAGACACTCAGTCCACTACTTGACCTGTGCTCTAAAGTAAATGTTGACGAGACACTCAGTCCACTACTTAATCTGTGCTCTAAAGTAAATGTTGACGAGACACACAGTCCACTACTTGATCTGTGCTCTAAAGTAAATGTTGACGAGACACTCAGTCCACTACTTGATCTGTGCTCTAAAGTAAATGTTGACGAGACACTCAGTCCACTACTTGATCTGTGCTCTAAAATGAAGGAACAAGCAAATGAAAAATCTTTATTTTCAAAGGGTCACAAACTGAGCACGCAGGTCCATCTTACATTCGACTCTTTAAAACAGCCACCTTTTTCACAGCACTTATATTTTGTTAATAAAGCTCGTTATATTCATATAATAATATGTATATTATGAATTTCAAGAACAAAACACACAAAAATATGGGTGGTGAAATGTGCGCGCGCACACATACCCACTTACTCAAGTCCACCCATTCACACACTCACACACTTACATACATACAAACCCACATACATACATACCCATCCACCCACCTTACTGCACACATGCATGCATGCATGCAGTCACACACACATATACATACACACATACAGACATTATGATATGAATGTTGATGAGACGGTCCACTAGGGGATGTCACCTCATCTGTGTAGATCATGCTTTATGTTGTAGATCATGCTTTGTGTTGTAGATCATGCTTTATGTTGTAGATCATGCTTTGTGTTGTAGATCATGCTTTGTGTTGTAGATCATGCTTTATGTTGTAGATCATGCTTTGTGTTGTAGATCATGCTTTATGTTGTAGATCATGCTTTGTGTTGTAGGTCATGCTTTGTGTTGTAGGTCATGCTTTATGTTGTAGGTCATGCTTTGTGTTGTAGATCATGCTTTATGTTGTAGATCATGCTTTATGTTGTAGGTCATGCTTTGTGTTGTAGGTCATGCTTTATGTTGTAGATCATGCTTTGTGTTGTAGATCATGCTTTGTGTTGTAGATCATGCTTTATGTTGTAGATCATGCTTTATGTTGTAGATCATGCTTTATGTTGTAGATCATGCTTTATGTTGTAGATCATGCTTTATGTTGTAGATCATGCTTTATGTTGTAGATCATGCTTTATGTTGTAGATCATGCTTTGTGTTGTAGATCATGCTTTATATTGTAGATCATGCTTTGTGTTGTAGATCATGCTTTATGTTGTAGGTCATGCTTTGTGTTGTAGATCATGCTTTGTGTTGTAGATCATGCTTTATGTTGTAGATCATGCTTTATGTTGTAGATCATGCTTTATGTTGTAGATCATGCTTTATGTTGTAGGTCATGCTTTATGTTGTAGATCATGCTTTATGTTGTAGATCATGCTTTATGTTGTAGATCATGCTTTATGTTGTAGATCATGCTTTATGTTGTAGGTCATGCTTTGTGTTGTAGATCATGCTTTATGTTGTAGATCATGCTTTATGTTGTAGATCATGCTTTATGTTGTAGATCATGCTTTATGTTGTAGGTCATGCTTTATGTTGTAGATCATGCTTTATGTTGTAGATCATGCTTTGTGTTGTAGATCATGCTTGATGTTGTAGATCATGCTTTATGTTGTAGATCATGCTTGATGTTGTAGATCATGCTTTATGTTGTAGATCATGCTTTATGTTGTAGATCATGCTTTGTGTTGTAGATCATGCTTGATGTTGTAGATCATGCTTTATGTTGTAGATCATGCTTTATGTTGTAGATCATGCTTTGTGTTGTAGATCATGCTTGATGTTGTAGATCATGCTTTATGTTGTAGATCATGCTTGATGTTGTAGATCATGCTTTATGTTGTAGATCATGCTTTATGTGGCACTACTGACCGGTGGCTAGCTATTCAGCAGAGAACAGCTGAGCCAGAAGGGATCACACACAGGGCAGTGAAATCAATCCCCTCAACTTTAAATCTTGACTAGCTTATTAATGACTTATTTCCTACAGTCTTGGGTTTGAAGGTCGGGCTTTGACGATTGGCTATGCAGGCGGAAGCATCCCAAACATCCCGGCCAATCAGCTGCTGCTGAAATCTTCATCATTGATTGGAATGTTCTGGGGCAGCTATGCCACGCTAAATCCTGCAGCATTCGCGGGATCCATTAGACAAGTCTTGGAGGCCATTGAGGCGAGGCAACTACATCCTTATGTAGGCAAAACATTTGCTCTTGACCAGGTGAGATCATTTGTGTCCTTCTTATTTCACCTATATCAATTGATCTTCATCATCATCCTCCCCAATGTTCATTTTTCCCCATTATGGGAACAGTGACCCATCACTAGACGGGCAGCACTAGCTTTGTCATTCTGTGTGGGTGCACACAATTTTATACTGTCATAATCTATCTTCTCCTTGGTTGCACACCAATATAGTTAGGTGAAGCAGCTGTGTCTGTAGTTGTTGCATTATAATATAATGACCAAACCATTTTACCTGCTCTTTCTTGGTGAATTTAGCACTATTTTCAGTGATATTACTACTTTCTTCAGTGATAAATCTCCACTTCTATCTTTAGTGATAAATCTCTACCTCTATCTTCAGTGATAAATCTCTACTTCTGTCTTGAGTGATAATCTGTATCTCTATCTTGAGTGATAATCTTTACTTCTATCTTCAGTGATAAATGCCTTCTTCTATCTTGAGTGATAATCTCTACTAATATCTTCAGTGATAAGTCTCTACTTCTTTTTTTTCAGTAACTCTCTAATTCTATCTTCAGTGATACATCTCTGCTTTAATCTTCAGTAATCTCTACAGTATCTTCAATGCACATCAGATGTTTATATCATTGACCAGTTGTTTGTTTGCATCTTATGTATTTGATTGCAAATAAACCTTGCCAGACATTCTGTTGAACAGCTGCTTTCTCTCTCATATAAACAAGACAGTCTCATCAAGTAGTACAGTTGTTGTGTTCTTGTTTTCCAGATAAATGAAGCATTTCAGTACATCCTTGAGAGAAAATCTATTGGCAAAGTTGTGATCAAAATAAAAGAGGAGAGTCCTTCATCTAAGCTTTGAAAGTTAGAAATCTCAGCACAATTTCCTGTGATGTCAGTGTTCCGCTCATGTGTATCCAGCCTGGTCACAGAGTGACTCAAAGAGTCACTATTTAGATGCAGATCAAACAGGATCATGTCCTAGAAATTAGATAAGAAAAATCTAGACACAATCTGGCCTGTTCCAACCATAATGAAGACAAATCTGTAATGAAATGGACTGCTCAATAGCTTTGATAAAGGCTAACGGCCTCCTGATATTAGTTTTCTGACAGAAAGATCGAAGAAGAAGAAGATTAGACACATAAAACATTCATGGGGAGGGAAGTGGGAACACTTTATGTTAATGAAAACCTGCAATCCTGTGTGGATGGGTAACAGAATCCAAAATGGTTTAGCATTTGTTTTTATTTTTTATTATACAGGACTAAATGTTAGACAGGACTAAATGTTAGGCAGGACTAAATGTTAGGCAGGACTAAATGTTAGACAGGACTAAATGTTAGACAGGACTAAATGTTAGAAAGGACTAAATTTTAGACAGGACTAAATGTTAGACAGGACTAAATGTTAGACAGGACTAAATGTTAGACAGGACTAAATGTTAGACAGGACTAAATGTTAGACAGGACTAAATGTTAGAAAGGACTAAATTTTAGACAGGACTTAATTTTATACAGGACTAAATGTTAAACAGGACTAAAGGAAACCAATCGATTTGTTGAAATTGCCGGCCACACATTCTGACCAGCCGCCACGAACAACCAGCATCCCAAAAATCTGCTTCACAAATTTGTGGGCATGAAATGTCTAAATTTCAAGAGAGTTTTGGGGTCTCATTGTAGGGGGAAAATGGGAGTTTGGGGGGGGGGTAGACCCAGTGCCCCGCAACAGGTATGTCATCAAAGTCGACTAATGAGGATGTTTTTTTTCAGTCCGAGTATGTCTGCATGAGACATGGGAAATCAATACTGCATACAAATGGGCGAGATCTCACTGTTTAATGTCATTGTTATATGTCACAGTTTATTTAATGTCATTGTTAAATGTCACTGTTTAATTTTATTGTAAAATGTCATTGTTAAATGTCACTGTTTAATTTCTTTGTTAAATGTCATTGTTACAATTTATTGTTTAATTTCATTTTAAAAGTCATTGTTAAATGTCACTGTTTAATTTCTTTGTTAAATGTCACTGTTTAATGTCATTGTTAAATGTCACTGTTTAATTTCATTATTAAATGTCACTGTTTAACTTTCATTGTTAAATGTCACTGTTTAATTGCATTCTTAAATGTCACTGTTTAATTTCATTCTTAAATGTCACTGTTTAATTTCATTGTTAAATGTCACTGTTTAATTCATTGTTAAATGTCACTGTTTAATTTCATTATTAAATGTCACTGTTTAATTTCATTCTTAAATGTCACTGTTTAATTTCATTCTTAAATGTCACTGTTTAATTTCATTCTTAAATGTCACTGTTTAATTTCATTGTTAAGTGTCACAGTAGCTCTGGTCAGTGAAAGATGTATCATGGAATCTAAAATGTATAATATCTTGATAATTATTTTGCAGTGTTTATTAACTGTTCAATTAAAAAAAGAATTTCCATTTTTTTAAATCTGCAATTTATGTGCTCAGAATTGTCTGTTTTCTCCTGTTGTATGGCATGTAGCTATATTCCTGCTTGTTGCATCTCTGTATGATCTTAACAGACATTTGTTTGTTTCATCTTTGATCTTCTTGTTATTGTGCATGTCGTTTTTATGTTAGCAACCACGTCTGCTCACAGAATTAAAAAAATATTTTCCATGTGTATGACCATATTGGTTTGGAGAGAACAATCAGGGAATGTATGGTTTCTGGGAGAAGAGGCAGGGGTTGACCAGCATGATGATGGACACCAGATGTCAGAGGACACACTAGGGCAGGGCTGTTAAACTAAATTTACTCAGGGGCTAACATTTAAAAAAATGGGGATCCTCACGGGCTGGAGACCTGTGCTCCAGATAAGAAATTTTGTAAATACAATACAACTGGCAGTAATTTGCAGGCCACTTGCTAGGCCTTCGTGGGCCAGTTGTGGCCCGTAGGCTGTCAGTTGAAAAGCCCTGCACTGGTGTATGAAAGTTGCTGAGGCAGGGACTGATCAGTTTAATGATGTCAGGATGTCAGGGACACACTAGGATGTGAACATTCTTAAGGTGAGATAGTTGTAAAATGTGCAAATGGCTTCCTAGTGAGCCATGACAGGAGCAACATGCTTCAAAGGAAATGCTACAGGAGGATGTAATGCTACTCAGAGGAAATGCTACAGGAGGATGTAATGATACTCAAAGGAAATGCTACAGGACGATATACTGCTACTCAAAGGAAATGCTACAGGACGATATACTGCTACTCAAAGGAAATGCTACAGGACGATATGTTGCTACTCAAAGGAAATGCTACAGGACGATATGTTGCTACTCAAAGGAAATGCTACAGGACGATGTAAGGCTACTCAAATGAAATGCTACAGGACGATGTAAGGCTACTCAAAGGAAATGCTACAGGACGATGTAAGGCTACCCAAAAGAAATGCTACATGACAATGTAGGGTTACCCAAAAGAAATGCTACAGGACAATGTAAGGCTACCCGAAAGAAATGCTACAGGACAATGTAAGGCTACTCAAAGGAAATGCTACAGGACGATATAAGGCTACCCAAAAGAAATGCTACAGGACAATGTAAGGCTACCCAAAAGAAATGCTATAGGACGATGTAAGGCTACCCCAAAAAATGCTACAGGACAATGTAAGGCTACCCAAAAGAAATGCTACAGGACGATGTAAGGATACCCAAAAAAAATGCTACAGGACAATGTAAGGCTACCCAAAAGAAATGCTACAGGACAATGTAAGGCTACCCAAAAGAAATGCTACAGGACGATGTACTGCTGCTACTTCTTCTAATGTTCGCTTTCTGATTTACACCGACAGACACTTTTTTGTGATACACTTGACTGGTTTTTTTTTTTTTTTAAGTCATGTACAACTTTGCGAGCAGTGGTGACTCACTGGACCAGTATTCTCTTTTTTATGGGCTGAACAATTGACAATCTTGCAGGACATGTTCTGTAGTCTGGACACACAGCTTCACAATGGCACAAACGTGAACTACTAAGACGAAGCCAGGGCATATGCTGGTTAAGTTTGTTATGTCCTATAGGATAATGACCTGCCCATGCCGGTCAAGTAAGTGGTAGTCATCTCTGGCCAGACTCTGTTCACTTCTAATAGCCTGGATGGCCTTTTTCTTCTCATAGTATGTTACTGCATTCTCTTCCTGGCCACATTCTGCCCCTTTCCTAGCAAGTTTATCTGCGGTTTCATCTCCTGGTATACCCCAGTGGGATGGCACCAACTGGAGTACAGTACACTTTTGGGCAGCCACCTTGCCAAGTTCAGATCTCAGTTGAGAGAATTTGCCACTCTTGAGAGCTTGGAGCATCGATAGCGCATCAGTGAATATGACTACTTGGTGGCATCAGAACTGATGTGTAAAATTTCGACAGCCTGCTCTAGTGCTACGATCTCTGCTGTGTAGTTGGAACAGCATTTACCAGTGTGTATACACTTGGTGTGGCGGTGGTTGAATGGGTATGTAATAAAGACTTCAGCACCCCCATTTTTAACGGCACTGGTTGCTGATCCATCCGTGTAAACATGTATCCATGACTGTTCAGGATAATTTATTTTCCTGAATCACGCTAAGAGCAGCTGATTGTTTTTTTGAAGGTCACTGGACTCATCTCCAGTTGTGTATCCATTTGAGATTGTTTATGTATTGGCAGCAAACAGCAGCTAGAGATTGTTTATGTACTGGCAGCAAACAGCAGCTATAAGTATTAATAACTGTTTAGGTACATTTTAAAGCATAAAGAGGGGCGTGGGACAAGGATGTGTACTGTCACCTGATTTGTTTTCAATATACAGTGAATATATAATGAGATTAATTGATATGACCGGCATTGTGGTCGGTGGGCACAATATAAACAATTTACGTTACGCTGATGACACAGTCTTGATAGCAAGAAGTCAGAAAGAACTACAGAAAATGATAGACATTGTGGTGTTAGAAAGTGGAAGAATGGGCCTCAGTTTGAATAATGGGAAGACAGAAGTAATGGTGGTATCAAAGAAACGAATTATTCCTAAATGTGTAATAAAAGTCGATGGTGTTATTTTAGGACAAGTACAGAAATTTAAGTATCTGGGCACATGGATAACATCAGATGGAAGATGCATAACTGAGATAAGAAACAGAATAGGACAGGCAAAAACTGCATTTTATAAAATGAAAAACATCTTGTGCAATATATCCTTGTCATTGAGAGTTAGAAAAGGAATTCTTGCTTGCTACATATATCCAGTATTAACATATGACTGTGAATCCTGGACAATCGGTAGGCAGGCCAAACAATTTCTGGAGGCCTCAGAGATGTGGTTTTACAGAAGAATGCTTGGAATACCTTGGACAGCCAAAAAGAGCAACCAAGAGGTTTTGAAAGAGGCGAGAACCCGAAGACAACTTATCACAAACATCAGAAAGAGACAGTCATCATTTTTCGGCCATGTTATGAGAAGAGGGAAAATAGAACATGTTGTGACCACTGGAAAGATCTGTGGAAGGAGGGATAGGGGAAGACCACGAGAGAAGATGCTTGACAGTCTTGTTGCATGGCATTGAGGTGTGTCGGCACACGAACTGATACATAATGCAGGAGATCGTGGATTATAGAGAGGCATGATTGCCCATGCCAGTCGGCAAGGCACCTGATGATGATGATTGGACTCATCTTCAGCTGTGAATCCATTGACTGAAGTCATTATCTGTATTGTGTCACTGACTTGCTCCCAATGTACAGGGTATAGGGTAGGTTTCAGCGGTGTTGTTCTAATAGGTAGATCTGCTTAATGCTGTCTTCCAAGTCTTTTCCCCGATGGACAAAGCTGCTATGTTTGAGATGACCCAAT